AGGTTGATCGACGGAGTAAAGACGCGAGAGGGAGTCTGGTTTCACATTCTTATATCCGGGTCTGTAGGAGATAATGAGATTAAATCTTGAGAAGAAAATGGACCACCTGGATTGACGAGGGTTGGCCTGTTTGGCTGACTGGATGCTAGCAAGGTTCTTGTGATCTGTCCAAACTAGAACCGGGTGCTCAGCTCCCTCTAGCCAGTGTCTCCATTCTTCCAATGCCAACTTAATGGCCAGTAACTCTCGATCTCCGACGCCGTAGTTCTGTTCTGCTGAAGAGAGCCTACGAGAGAAAAAAGCACATGGATGGATCTTTTGGTCTGTGTCGAGTCTCTGGGACAGAACGGCTCCAACGCCAGAATCAGAAGCGTCAACCTCCAGGATGAACTGCTTAGAAGGGTCAGGCTGAATTAACACGGGTGCTCTGGAAAACAAAGATTTCAGCTTTTCAAAAGCAGTTTGAGCTTCGGGAGACCATTGGAAAGTTCTTTTAACAGACGTTAATGAGGTTAAGGGTAGAGCTGTTTGGCTATAGTTCCTGATGAACCGGCGGTAAAAATTGGCGAACCCCAAAAATCTCTGTAGCTGTTTGCGATTTTCAGGAACCGGCCACTCCAAAACCGCCTTAATCTTGTCTTCAGAAGGCTTAACCTGCCCGCCCTCGAGCACAAACCCCAAAAAGGTCACAGAAGGTTGATGGAACTCATATTTTTCAGCCTTGACAAACAACTTGTTCTCCAATAACCTCTGTAACACCAGGCGGACATGTCTTTTATGCTCAGATAGGTTTCTTGAATAAATGAGTATGTCGTCTATATAAACAAACACAAACACATTTAGAAAGTCTCTGAGGACGTCATTCACTAGAGCTTGGAAGCAGGCGGGGGCATTAGTTAATCCAAAGGGCATCACCAAATATTCGAACTGACCTAAGGGGGTTTTGAAGGCAGTCTTCCATTCGTCTCCCTCTCTGATTCTGAGGAGATGATATGCATTTCTTAAATCCAACTTGGTAAAGACTGTAGCCCCCTGGACAGGCTCAAAGGCAGAGGGTACTTGTTCTTAACTGTTATTTGGTTCAAACCTCTGTAATCAATGCAAGGTCTTAGAGAACCATCCTTCTTGCCAACAAAGAAGAACCCTGCACCCAGAGGAGAAGAAGATGGGCGAATAATTCCAGCAGCTAAAGACTCGTTAATATACTTCTCCATGGTTTCTCGTTCGGGCTTGGAGATGTTGTATAGACGGCTGCTGGGTAACGGTGCTCCAGGTAGTAATTCAATAGCACAGTCATATGGTCTGTGTGGTGGAAGGGACGTAGCACTGACCTTACTGAAGACCGGAGCCAAGTCATGGTACTCAGGGGGAACTGTAGAAAGGTCAGGAGAGTCCATCTCCCCCCCACCTCTAGGAGGCCCCACCATAGGGGCTGCCGCACGAAGGCATGTTTCATGACATAATGTAGACCAGGATTCCACGTGACGGTCGGACCAGTTAATACGTGGATTGTGCTTCTCCAACCATTCGAAGCCGAGCACCAGAGGCGAACATGCAGAGGGAAAAACAAAAAATGTGATGGTTTCACGATGGTTACCTGAGAGTAGTAGCTCGAGGGGTTGAGTTTGATGGGTAACTTGGTGGAGTTTTTTCCCATCAATTGCAGAGACACGAAGTGGTTGAGAAAGTGGAATAGTTTCAATTCCTAATTGTTGAACGAGGTTGGAATCAATGAGGTTCCGTTCACAGCCTGAATCAATAAATGCAGAGAAGGAGAGGTTCTGATTATCAAAAAACAAGGTGGCTGGAAGAAACAATCGAGGAGATTTCTTAGAATTAGTTCGGCCCGCCAGACTCCTCAGATCCTCTGGCGGGCCCAGGCTTTTGACTTAGCCGGACAGGAAGCGATGAAGTGTCCACTCTCACCACAATAAATGCAGAGTTTACTCAGAAAACGTCTTTGTCTTTCTTCAGGAGTGAGCCTAGTGTGTCCAACCTGCATAGGTTCCTCTTCCATGTCACCAGAATGAGAAGCCTGAACAGGCAGAGGGAGAGACTGGACCTTAGGTCTCAACTTAGGCAACTGTTCTGTGGGAGGAGAAATAACAGACACATTATTTAAAGCAGGAGCAGATGAATGAGATCCTAGATTTCCTGGCTTGGAACTCCTTCTAGCTCGGATTCGGTTGTCCAATCTTATTGTCAGCTTGATTAATTCTTCGAGGGAGGCTGGTTCGTCGAGAGTAGCAAGTTCGTCCTTAATATTTTCATTTAAGGCCATAAAATAAGCCCCCTTCAGGGCGCTTTGGTTCCATCCGGAAGCTGCTGCCTTAACCCGGAAGTTGATTGAGAAATCAGCCACAGAAGAATTTCCCTGTTTTATACTGAAAAGGGCACGAGAGTCAATTGTTTGATCCGTCTCCTGGTTAAAAACCTGGGAAAATTCAGAAATAAAGTCAGAATATCGGCAGTTGAGACTTTCATCATTGGGGAATCTGGCCTGAGCCCACTCCAAGGCTCTTCCTGTAAGTTGAGAAAGAATAAAGGTTACTCTTTTATAGTCCGTGGAAAAACTGTTGGGAGAATTTTGAAAAAGTAACCGGCACTGAAATAAAAATCCCTTACAATCCTTCATATTACCGGAGAATCTCTCAGGAAGGCATGGGCGGAACTCAGGTGACGTCACGGCTGGTGACCTCGGAGGGGGAACCGGACCCGGAAATGGTTGTGCTGCTGGCGTGGCATTAGCATAGCTCTGAAGCATTTGATTGTGAGTGTCAACAAGACAAAACAACTCACGGAGTGTCTGGGTTTGTCCTTGGATTAGGGCTTCTTGCTCCTCCAAACGACGGCGGATGTGATCTGCTGGGCCTTGTGTTTGGCCGCAGTGTTCTGTCATGATTGGTTCTCTAATGTGACCCAATGATGCAGAACACCACTAGACGGAAACAGTTTTAAAAGTTTAACAGAGTTTATTGTTCACAAGCACAATGAAACGGGTTCTGGTTCTGGTCCAGGGAGACTGGTACACCGGAGTCTGTGTGGAGGACAGTTTAGTTAGCGGAGCACTTAGGAACTTGTCTTTAGGATTGTTTCTGGCTTGTACCTTGTGGGTCCTTGAATGAGGCTTGGAGAGGAAGGTTGTTGGAACTGGAGAAGGTTTGGTTGCAGAGTCCGCAAGCTGTTTCAGCGTCTTGCTTCTCAGGTGGGAGCTGACCTTGGGTTTGAGTTTCCAGCTCTTGGTCCAGAGCTGCATGGGAAACCAGAGGGAGTCTTCAGGTTTGGCTCAGAGGGCAGGCTCGGCAGGTTAAGCTCTTCCAGAGCTTCACGGGAGAAAAACTGGTTTCCTGGAAAAACAGAGACAAAGTTAGAATCCAGCTTGGATTCAAAGTCAACAAAGGTTCTCAGAGGTTCTAGGCTTAGGTGCTAACCAACTGGATCAACACTGCGGCGTTGAGGCAAGGTCTGAAGACAGCTTAAGTAGTGGATCCTCTGATGATGGTAACGAGCAGCAGCTGTGCAGGAGGCTCTGCTCAGGAGGATCCACGGCGGACTCTGCTGGAGAAGGGTGGAACTTCTCCAGCCTCCAACATTATATCAAAAATAAATCTCCCAGAGTATTTCTATTATATTTGTTTTTCTTTCTTGGTTTTCATTCTGAATAAAAAAGCAATCAAAAATGTTAAATGGACTGTACTGCAAATGAAAACATGACGGAAACAAAAAACTTTTGAAGATGGCACACTGACATGTTAAATGCACCTCAGTAGCTGCAAGATAGAAAGACAACAGCAATCCATTAAAACAGAAATGGAAAAAAATTTGCATTTAACAACATGGGATTAAGCATTCCTTTAGCAGATAAAAACTGGGCAACTAACAGCATGAATATAAACACCTATTGGGTCTGTTAAGAAAACTTGAGAAGTCATACAGAAGCTGGAAGGAAGGATCTGTGATTACTTTTCTTAATTTAATTTAATTTATTTATTTGACAGGGACAGTGTACATTAAAAAGCATTCCTACAAATGCACCAGAATTAGCCAAAAGGCTATTTTTCATCTGTTGTCCCTGGACAGATCTTAAAATTGTCTACCTAAAAAAAACAAAACACAACAGTAAGCATTCTACAATGAAAAATACAAATATAAAAAGAAATAAAAACAGCTATAACTCCTCAAAACTGATTTAAAAATACAGAATAAGTGTTCGCTGGAGCAAGTTTATTAACCAAGAGAGCAAAAACTAAGTGTAAAGCACAGAAATCAATTATAATAAGCCAACATGGCTCCATAGTTTAATCTGAGGGTACGGAAGCATAAGAAAGGCTTTTTTTCATAAAAATTTGTAAAAAGCATTTTTTCCCTTTAATACTGAAAAAAAAAAATCTCAGTGTCATCTGTATAAAGTCTACAGTATTTTAATAACACTCAAACTGTTTTAAGGCTATTTCTTTGTTTGGATTTATCTTTTATTTAGTATTTTGAGATAATTTATTAATAATCTTTTGTGTAAATTAAATTCCCTAGTTAAATTTTTAACTCAACCCTCCTTACTCTTTTAGAGACTTCAGAGCTTTTCTCGAACATCTCATATTGATTTTAAACTAAACTACTAAAACTGTACCACTTTATTTTTTGTTTACTCCTTTATATAAACTAGGACCACTTTTTCTTTTTTTTTTAATAGAAGCAGACCGTATTTACCATCTAATTTGTACACTGTTCAGAATTTCAGACACTGTTCAGATTTAACAATTTTATCTTGAACTAAATTAGATTTTTTTTTTCTTTTTTAAAAACCATTAATTTCTGTCCCTTTTTAATTGTCAGTCATTCCATGCCGTTATTATCTAATATATTTAATTTTATCTGTGTGTTGCTCTGGTTGTGTGTAAAAAAAATATGTTAAAAAAATGTTTGTTTGCTGCATTACCTGTAGGATAAAAATAGCTAAGTTTGTGTAATCTTTGATATTGAAATATATATGTTTTTTGTAGGTGGTTGTCATACGTGCTGCTGCTGCTGCTCGACCTCATAGTGTGTCTGTTTATCCTGCTTGGACTGGCCAAGCAAGCCCGCTGGCTGCTCATCCTGTGAGTAAACTTAGCATTTTTGCTCTGGACAGAAAAGATCCAACTCTGGACGTATGTACAGAGTGTCCCTCTGGCTGAGCAGTGCTTGCCCCCCTCTCTCCTCACAGGATGACTGTGCTGGCATGGCTGGCTCTCTTGCTGAGCTGGGGCTCCCTGGGTTTGGAGACAGCCACTGTTGTGGTAAGTAGATCCATCAAAACTGGGAAGAATGGGAAAGATGGCAGAGACTGTGAATGAAAGGCAGCAGTTGAGAGAAAATGATTGAGGAGGCCTGACCCCTGATGGCAGGCCTGTGAGATTTCTGCGTTTTATTTCTATTTCTTTTGTGCTCTAATGTGAAAATCCCAGCTGCATAAGGAATGCTACACTCATGGCAGAATACCAAGACAGCAGGAAAATGGGTCAGAGATTAAAGATTCAATGAGCGTGTGCACGCCTTTTTAACAAAGTGCATTTGTTCACCGGAGTGCGCGTTATTGCATGCAAGTTTGTGGGTGTTTGGCTTGGAGAAATAAAGATAAAAGAGGAAGAGAAGTGCCTTCAGGATGAGTGAGGAGAGGACAGGAAGAGCTGGGGAGGGCATCTTAGGACCACTTCAGGAGACAGAAACAATCAGCCTGCTGTCAGTGGAACAGGCTCAAAGCTTCTGCTGCAGCTTGCTCTAATGGGAAATAAGACCAATTGTGCAAAAGTGTGAAAATAATGTTGTAAACATTATTTACAATAGAGGCAGAGACGGTCAAGGCGGGCTGTGTTATGTCATCCATAAGAATCTTAATCTCTGTGACATTCAGGGGGTACAAAGAGCTTCTATACTACTACAGTATAAGAATGTCCATTTTAATTGTTAAGTGTGTTTGTTCTCACTGAGGGGGAGGCTTCTTTCATCTGTCAGAAGGGTTTGAAGGGTTGGGGATTTTTTCTTTATTTTACTGTTGCTCAGTTTAAGAGTCTTCGTGTCATGAGGGGCTGGTGGGAGATGTCCCAAAGCCTGTGCATCCACACAGAGCCACTCTGTCCTTGGTTACTGACAGGGAAACAATGGAGCAGCTGTGAGCCAGCCCAGTCTGTGTTGTTCTGGGTCAGTGCTTTTCAGTGAGTGGCCCTCCTTGTTTGGGCCTCTCACTCCCTCTTCTGGTGGGTCGCTCGCAAGCTGTGTCTTTTTCTGTCTCTCGCTTGCTAAAGTATTCATACTCCTAGAACTTTTTCAGATTCTATCCCATTGGTTAAAAAAACAAAAACAAAACATACATGAATTTTATTAGGATTTTATGTATTATAAGAGATCAACACAAAGTACGGAATCATTTTGAAATAGAGAGAAAACAATATATAGATATAGATAGAAGGTTCTACACAGCAAACTAGAAAACTGAGGGGTCCATTGGTATTTTGATACCTCTAAACCCCTGTTTTACTTTTTGGAAAATGCTATGATTGGTGGAGAAATAACACAAATAATAATGATGCAAAGTAATACCTTGTGGTGGCAATATTATGATGTGAGTTCTCCAGCAGACACAGTAAAAATACTAGAGTTAATCAAGGGATTAATGGAGCTCAACAAAGGGCATAGCTGGGACAAGGCCTGCAATATACTTGACATATGGGCAGAGCTTTTATCTCCCGATGGACAACACTAAACATACAGACCTACTATGGCAAGAATAAGAATGGCCCAGTCAAAGTCCAGATCCTGATCTAGGCGGAAAAAAGCTTGATGACACATTTTGACACATTTTTCTGATTGAGATTTATTGCTCCAAGGAAAAAATTCACACGAAAAAACAAACAAACAAAAAAGTCTCTTTCTGTCATACATTTTCTATGAGCAAAAGGGAGCAGGAAGAAGATAAAAATCTTACTGTGTCTGCCCCTGAAAAAAAAAAAAAAAATCAAAATAAATAACCATTGCCCAGCAGCTTACGGTTAAAATAATCCAATAACAAACATCGATGTTAATTTTAATTAATGAACATTTTAAAGACAATATCAATATTCATCAGGTATATAAAAATAAAACATAAGGAAATTAACATGAAATTCTTTATATAAATAGTGAATACTAAATATACTTTTTATATTTTTACACATTTTGAGATCTTCATGAAGTGAATTTCACCATTTTAACCCAATAATTAAAAGACACATCTGTTTAAGTGTTGTATATGCAAATGTATGTTTTCCTCCGCTAACCTCATCTAAAGGAAAAAGGTGTGGGGTCTCTTTTGGTACATTTTTACATCTTGCTTTAAGCACAGCTAAAAGTGTTCGGACATGTTTAATATTCTGGATTTAACAAATAACTTACTGGTGTGTTTTTGATAAGCAACTTTGTGTATAATTCTTACAAATCTCTTTTATAATATAAAGGTTTTATATTTGACAGATGTATTGTTTCATAAATTAAAGCTTCCTTCACTTTATAACAAAGATGATTTTGCAGATTATTCATTTTATATGTGTTGTTTCCATGATAATTCATCATCAATAATCACAACAAGAAAACAAGACTTTCTAAATGTCAACTTTCTCTACAAATAATTCAACATGTTCTATAAAATGTAATCTTTTCAAATTCATTAATAACCTATTTACTTCCAACAGTTTCTTCATCTTTGTCATTTCATATTCAATGCATAGTAAAAGTTCCCATACATTATTTCCAGAAATGAAATAATTAGTCATAAAACAAACTGTAATAATTTTTAAATATCACAGATATCAATGAAATGACATAACAAGTGAATGTCACATTTTTCACATAATTTCTAAATACTAATTGCTTTAAAAATATTATACCATTGTTCTTCAGTTTCAAAAAATATGCCTAATTTTATCTTGTTTTGTCACATAAAATGCTCATAAAATGCAATAAGGTTAAGTATCTGTAATATATATATAGAAAATATGTGAAAGTGAAAATAATATTAATAATTGCTTAACTAAAATGTATCCGACTTAAAATAAGACCCAGGAAGGAAAAAAATGTATCCAAAAGTACAAAATCAAAGTTGAAAATAAATTTTGGTCTATAGTTATTATAAACATCACTTTTCTACTGTTTTTAGTAACTTTTTTCCCCTGCCATCCTTTTCTTACATTCCTTGCACATCCTCCTCCTCCACTCCTGTGTGGTTCCTGCTGAAGGCCCTCAGCGACTTCTGCTCAGAGCCAAACGTCTTCGTCCTTAACTATACTCAGATCACCACGGGCACAAGCTCAGGTATAGTACTGATGCTAGAAAAAGCCTTTCTGGAAGAAAAAAAGAAAAGCTGTCACCTTTTTTCTCTTCTTGCCACGCCTTCCCTGTACATGATCTGATGCTCTAAATGTGCTTCTGATAGCAGAATCAAAAACAATGCCAGATGAATGTTCCTTTCTTTTGTGAGCTGATCTTTTGTGTGCTGCTGTTTTGCTGGCCGTTCAGACGTGTTGGATTATTACCTGACCTGCAGCAGGAGCATGAACAGTCCATTCCAGCAGGTAATGTGACCACGTTCAGTCACATGGACATGTATCAGCACATTAGACTGTGAGCTAAAGTGAGAGGCTTCCTGAAGGCCAGGAAGAGTGAGAAATAGAGATGCTCAGTCAGTTACAGTGGGAAATTTACATCCACTCATGATTGGAATTAATTTGATGATTATTTTCCCACAGAAAAGAAGAAGAAAAAATAAGATATTGAAATTTTTGTGGATTTTTATCAGTTTTCTCAGAATCAGAATTGTACATACAAGTTCAAGTGAATCATTGAAGCTCCTTACTAAAATCTGAATCAATGCTTTTTCCATTTGCATTGGGTACAGTGGTACAACACCTATTTTGTATGCATAACACAGGCAAACATTTAGCATTTGAGTTATCCTGCACTCATTTGTAGATGGGGTGTTGTATGGCTCAGTTGGTAGAGTAGACACACTATTTATGTGGGGAGTTTGAAGTCCTCAATGAGGCTGTCCTGAGTTCTGTTCTTGATATTAAAACATTTGGGCGTCTTTTTTACCACCCTCTTTCCTAATAAGGTATTGTTCACTAAATGTTACCCCCGCAAAAAAATATTTTCAAAGCCGTCTGTGGTAGAAAAGCAACCTTATTGATGTTTCTATGTAAAATGGTGAAATATAAAAATGTGATTTATGTATATGTTTGAGCCTGTTTGTACCGAAGCATACTGCATTCACCTGAAAAAAATAAAACAGGTTGTTTTTCTGAGTTAAAGAGATTAATTTTATCAAAAATAAACAATAAAGCCCAGTTTTTATGTATAAATACAATGAAATGTAAAGAGATGAAGAAGGGGGGAAATGACCGTACCACGAGTAGACCAGGCACGCAAGTGCTTTTGCAAAGTCAAATAAACTAATACTGTTTGCATGTACATGACTAAGAGAAAAGAGAATATCCCAAATTAAACTCCACAAACATTTCAATTCAATTCAGTTTATTTTTATAGCACCAATTCACAACACAGAGACAATTCAACCAGATAATATTTCTCTCCAGGATGGTGTCACAGCTAAACAGGAACAGAGCAGATTAAGCTACTATAAGCAGAGAGAGCAGAACGTTACAGGTTGAACTAACAAATACTGCAGAGTTGGAGAATAGAGATAGAATGATGAAAAGGGTCCCCTTGTCCTCCAGCAGTCTAAGCCTATAGCAGAATACCTATAGAGATACCTCAGCCACTCTAACTATGAGCTTTATCAAAAAGGAAAATTTTAAGCCTTGCATTAATAATAGACAGGCTGTCTGCCTCACAGACTAAAACTGGTAGTTGGTTCCACAGGAGAGGAGCCTGATAACTAAAATATCTACGAAGTGCTCTGTTAGGAACATAAGGAACAATCAAACAAACAGACAGAACATGTTGAAGCTTCCCTGGAGGAAAGGCTTTGCTTGCTTAGAAATCTGCAATGCCAACAGTAGCAGAACATCCACTACAAAATCAAAGCAGCATTATCTCGTTAAATTCATAAAAAATTAATGTTTTAATTATTTTTGTAAAAATTATGTTAATTCAGAAAAAAATACTATTTTCTTTTTTTCTAGGTGAATACAATACACTACTGTATGTTTGGAGAAAATCTGAGAAAATTAAAAATATTTCAGTTCTATTTCTTACAATTTGTGGAAGCAGTATTCTGTTCAATCACTACACCCTGGAAAAAAAAGCCAAATAAATGTTTAAAAGCCTCATTTCAGTATAAAATTTATATGGGGACTTCTGACTAGTGATAACTCAGATTAGCACCTGCACTTAGAAAAAACAACAGTAAAAATTCACCTATAAGTAGCAATCCAAATCCAGAGCATGTGATTGTACTGACTTTGGTGAATTTCTGGATTTAGCTGCTGACCCAGTCTCAGAGGGCGCTCTCAAGCATCCACACACACCTCTCCAGTCTGGACAGGAACGCTCTCCCACAGTTTCCCAAAGCTGAGGTAGGAAACAGCTCTTGCTCAGGGAGCTACAAATAAAGGCCTTGTCAGGAAAATTCCAAGATTAATCTACCTGGTGTTACTCACAGAAATCACTCCGGGAGGTTCAACAGATACTCAACTCCACAGAGGGCAACTTCCATCAGCTGGTGGCACTGCTGAACTGCCGAGGTCTTAATAAGGTACAGCATCAAAATTAAATGCTCAGTCCCACACCACTGCCTCTACACCACTGTCTTTTTTTCTCTCTTGTTAGGACTACATTGACTCACTGAAAGGCCTGTGTTATGATGGGATGGAGGGATTGCTCTACCTCTCCCTTTATTCTTTCCTCTCTGGTCTGGCCTTCACTGCCATCCTTTGCTCTCTTCCTGGAGCCTGGAGGAGCTTCCCCAGGTAAAGTACAACATGGATGCATCTAGAAATCTTTTATAATATAAGGACTGTTACTCTTTAACATTTATGACACATGAGGATGAACATTCCTGCTTTAAAACAGAGGCTGCCTGCTTGTTTGTTTATAATCAGAAACAGCACAGATTGGTGTATTCTGGGGAATACTCTTTAACATGCACAAAACATTGAAGGGAATTTAAAAAGAGGTTAGACTCTAATCAGAGCCTGCCTTCGTGTCATTCTACTAGTATGAAGACATTTGATCTTGCCTGATGTGATGACATAGTAGTTAAACATTCACCACAATCATAAGGAGGTTTATTAAAGTTTCATGACGATACAGGAAAATTGTGCATTTTGCATAATGTGCATCCTCAAAAGCAGACAATTTTAACCTTTTTTCAATGTGTTTAAATATTTCTCCTGCAATTATGTTTGGAAATGTGTCATAAACAATAAAGAAATCTATTACAATCATTTCTAAATAAATTCTATTCAGGGGAATAGATTTCACCTTTGGAAATCTTTTAACAGAAATCCCGTGCATCATAAACAATTCATACCAAAAATGTTACTCCAGCACACATTTACATATTTTATTTTCAGTTCTTAAGTTGATCAGAGTGAATTTGAATAACTTTAAAATTCCTGTTCTCATAACACCAATATTCAGTTATTTAAGCCACTTTTAATAATGATAAAGACAAGATAGCTTGTAATTAATGTAAGGCTTTATGAGTTACAAAAACCGCTACTTGGAAGTTACTGCTTACCAGAACTTGCCCATGAATATTGTCATAGCAAAAATTAAGAGAATTAAAACCGTTGACAAACAAAACTAGAGGGAGAACCTTGTTTATTAATGCCAGCAAGAAATGGGAAAAAAATAGATAAAATCCACCTTAAATGGAGCAAAGAAGTGGTATCTTGGGGGTCGTCAAATATTTTTATACATTACACAACTATCAACATGTGAGCTGGCTGTTTTCAGGGGTCAGGAAAAGTTACTAGAACTGCTTTTGAATAATTTCTTATCACTCTGTTATATGCTGGTGTTTATCAAAGCAGGTTCTGTTCGTCTAAACATGTGAAAATGAAGGAGATTTGGTGGAACATCAAAAATCCCACATTTATTTAAAGTGTTAATGTTGCTTTCAAAGGTCTCCCCTTTGGACTAGTGTTTGTATATTAGGATCAGGGGTGTGTACTTCACAGTGTTTTACTGTGGCATAGTTAGGTTATTATTCCGACTCATACTTGTGTGATGTTTTCCTACAGTGTTGTTTTTTCACATGTCATTATACCTAAAGGCATGTTCCCAGGGGTGTGACCAGATATATTTTCGTAGTCTGTTGCTCTGTACAGCACTTTGTTTCAGCCATCAGCTGTTTTCATGCACCTTATCTGGTATGAGATTCGGCTTTCCAGTTGGATCTGGTGGGAAACACAGGATAATTATGAGAAAAGCTTCTTATGCTGCTTCTCAAGCCAGTGGAGAATCAGTTACCCTGTGGTTCATTTGTTCAGATTATACTTCTTTAATAAGGGTTCCAGTAATTGTGGTACTTGCATAGTCTATCATCTATGGCACAGAAACTCAGTCGTTTCTGTTTATTTGCTCTCACATTCCCCTTTTTCTGCTTCCGTCTCTTTCATGGACAGCGAATCAGAAGAATACGACGACTCGGACAGTGAGAGTGAGGACCCCTTCACCTCCCATCAGGCACGTAGACAGGCATCCTCGGGGTCTCAGCGAGGGGCAATGGCCCCCTTCTATAATTACCCGGGGGCTGGGTGGACACCCCCCTTTTCTAGCGCGCCGCCCCTCCCGTGAGTAACACAGACACTCAGACACACAGACAGACAGACAGGAAGACAGACAAAACAAATATTTCCAGACATACATCATCCTTGTGATTCTGTCGCCACATCTGGAACACCAGGCCCCCTTAACCTGCTGCCCCCATCTCAGATCAGTTCATCAGTTTTCAGAGAAACACCACACAGAGGCTGAATGAGCACTGCTGAGAAAAGGTCTTTGAGCTAAAGGAGACAGGATGCAGTTGATAATCATAGTCCAAAAAACATAAATTAATCTTTACTCTAAAGCAGATTAGACACAAGTTAAGTATTCCTGTAAATAATTTTGAAAAGTGAAACTGATTTACTATATCTAGGGTGATTTTATTCTGATGATTATGGCTTAAAGCTGATAAGAACATAACAGAGGCCAATAAATAAAGGATTTAAACACAGAAATGTTACACTAAGGCTGGTAGTTATCCACTAGATGGTCAAAAGGAAGCCATAAAAAAGTATTGCTAAAGAGGTCTGTTTTCATGGCTGTATCCAAGTATGTTAATGGAGGAGTGTAGCCAAAGAAAAACGTTTTACCCAAAAAGGTGCAGTCTGGAAAATATTAGAAAGAGTAAAATGCATCTAGAGTCGGTTCTTAAAGAAGATATTTAAAGTGTGTGGACGTCAAAATGTCAAAAGGTGTTTCGTTTATGAGAAGGTGAAAAGGGAAAGTTAGCTAGTGTACCAAAGAAAATTCATTTATAGGAAAAGGAGGGGACAGGGATTGCCTCAAGATGTGTAGAGAAAAAATGAAAAAAAAAAAAAAATAAATTTCAAGATGGCGTCCTTAATAAGGAGAGGACTGCAGCTGGAGTCATAGGAGTGTATAGGTCAATCATAAACTGGAACCCCATATACCTCTTTCCAGATTAAAGTCTGTATTTCATTTGAAAAGCAAGAACCCAGAATCTGGAGCAGCAGTGGAGCGGAAAAAACCCACACTGGTTGTAGTCCAGTTTGAAGCCTCTCCAGTAGGTGATAAATAGGGCTCCTATATTATCTGCAGCTGTTTGGGACCTGCACAGTTCCGGAAGTACCACCACCTGCCCCAATGGTTATGCTGTTACTGTTTATCAGCCAGCAAACTGGCCTGATCTGAACCCCATAGATAATCAATGGAGTGCTGTCAAGTGGAAGTTATGAACCAAAACAAAAAGGATGACCTGATTTGCTGCTAATACAGCAACCAAGGCTTTTGTTACACCCTGGTTTCCTCCATGACATACTTTAACATAAATTTGAACATTTCTTTATAAAATAATTTATTTGTATATTCTAATTTTGGTATTTTGATTAGGTCTAATCTAATATAAAAAAAATTGAAATAAAAAATTGAAATTCATCCCTCTGCTCAATTAAGCTATAGGGATTTCACCTTCCAGACTGCATTACTGAAATAGATTAGGGGGATGCATCTAGTTTTAGTGCAAGCTTCAAATTTTCATGTTAACATATATGCATACACATACAGGGAGCTGTCAGGCTGAGCACATGAACCTCAGACAGACACACAGACAGGTCAGTGGGAACTAGTGTAGGCAGAGGAACAGACATAGCTCCAGAGGTCTGTCTGTCTGTCTGTGTGTCTGTCTATCCGTCTGTCAAGTGTTTTCAGGACAGACGGTATAGTGGCGCTGCGGACATTTCACAGATCTGGTTGAAAAAAAACGGCCTCCTGTCTCCTGGACAGCAGTTAAGGTGTCACTGCTGTGCCGGAGGGGGAGGGCGTCTATGATGAAGCTGCGCTCATAAAAAAAATCTTCCGGCGATGTGAGGCTCAGGTTGTCAGTAGGTAAACCCCCCCACCTTACCCCGTTTCCCCCTTCCTGTATCATCGCTGTCAGCTGTCTCCTCACTGTGGCTCTCTCAGGTTATCTCCCCCCCCAGCTGCTCCTCTCTCCAGGATTCCTCCTGCTTCCTGTTTTGTTTCCCCTCTTTTTACTTTTAGACCCCACCCTTCCTCCTCCTTCAACTTATTTAGTGCTATTTTACTGTAGATTACTTTGATTAGTCTCATTGACAACATTACCACACAGATATACTGACATGGCTTGAAACAAGCACTATAACACGGTCCACTGCTTTTAAATTGACCCAGGATTTTCAAAGCAAAAAAAATCTCATTTGCAGAAAATTTCAGCAGCTAAGAAATGAAAAAGAAATAGCGTTAAATGCATGTAAGTGTAGATATTTGTTCACATCAGTCAGGAGTGGACCGTGAGTCTGCAGCTGGCCCTCACAGTGCTCCACTTGAAGGCCAGTGATGCTTATAGTTATTCTAAGTGCTTTGCTTTTCTGCACCTTTTTTCTAATCTCTCTCTTCTTCTTTCCTTTTACCCGTCTTTGGGTCCTGTCACCCTGCGGCCCTCTTGTCCCCTTTGTCATTCTGACTGTGTCTCATTCCTGCCTTCCCCTCTCTCTTCCTGCTACTTCTCTCCCTTCCTCTTCTGTCCTTGTCTCTTTCTGTCTCCATACAGGACTCAAAACGTTTCCTCCAATGGCAACCCTGGCTATGAGAGCCTACCCCTGACTGACAGGCAGTCCCCACCCCCCTCTGTGAGTTCCTCTGTGCCCATGACACCATCACAATCTTTCATTTATTCATACCTGTCCAAGCTCATAGGCACCGATCAGAATTGTGTGGCCAGCTTTCTCTTTGTTGCTTTGATTCGTCCAAAGAACTATTCTTAAACAACAACAAAACTGACATTTTGAGATGCCTTCAGCATTTTATATCAGGGATGAGCCCAAATAACATCTGTTGCATTTCTAAAATCAAAGTCTAACTGCTTATTTACTGGAGGAGGTATGTTTAACTTTACTGACTTTTTTTTTTTTTTTTAAGGCAGTCAACATTTCCAAATACAGCATCTTCAATGCTTAAAAGCGATTGGAAGCTCAAGATAATTGGGCAAACTTTTTTTGCTATATTTTATTCAGCCTTCCTGTTATCTGCAAAAACTCTTCCTCTCATAGTTTGTTTTTCTCTGAGTAAACCCTCTAATCTACTAAGGGGTTCTGGTCTTTGTGCCCCGTCAGGTGTTACATATAGTGCTTTTATTGGTTAGTAAAAACAAAATCTAGTTTTTGAGTTGCTAACCTGCTGGTCAGAAAAGCAGAAAATAAGCCACCTGAGTAAAGATCTCTTTAAATAAGTGTATATACCCTTAATTTGATTAGGTAAATAAGATAATCTGCCAATTGAATGAGTAATCTTTCCCTTAAAATAAAATAATTAGATATTAAAGAGACTGCAACAGTTTTTTTTTATTTTAAATTTAAATTGTCTTATTTTTCCCTTACCTGCTCAATTCAAGAAAAAAAATTGCTTATTTAAAGAAAACTTTACTTACCGGTACTTTTTGCAGTGTACTGCAGCTGTCTAACCATAAACAAACAGTGGCCTTTTAATTTCATGCAAAAAACAAAAAAGCTAAAACAAATTTGTTCTCAAATCTCCTCATTAAGACTGCTTAATTATTTTTGAAGGGCCCTGCCTCCATATTAAACCATTTTTGTTTTGGTGTATAAGGCAAGAGTGAAACTTAACTTTTATTCTTAACAATGAAATTATAATACAATTAAAATATTGGATAATTTAATAAGATAATAATTTGTTACCCCAATTTTTATAGTGTTTACACTGGCTTAAATCTGGCATAACTGGTTATTTTTAAACTTAGATGGTTGGCTTCCTTAAAGGTTTAATAGAGAACTTTTTGCGAATTTTTCAAAATTCACTTAAAAAAAATGCACATTCACAACCCTGTACCCATTCCTGAGAGGGAACGCCTATTAAACGCACGCTGGAGCATGGACGAGCCCATTTCTCCTCGTGCACGCTCTGTTTAAAAGTTGCTACTTGCATCACTCATACAAGCTTACTTTCTAAAAGATTTGCAATTTTTCTGCTTTTTCAGACTCACCACGATAAGTTAAAATGGGGATGAGCAAGTAGAACAGCCTTACGTACATATCACCAGAATGATTGACAATTAGGAGAACCACTTATTTTGATGATCCACCCGGAAAAAGAACATCCTCTACTATACCTTTATATTTGCAATAAATTGTAAATTGTGCAGCTATTGTGGGATCATGATTATCAAACTGACACCTGGATGCTACTGGAGCAGCAGAGCTTCTATAACATAACTGACATGACTTAATATACAGGTGCTGGTCATAAAATTAGAATATCATGAAAAAGTAGATTGATTTCAGTAATTCCATTTAAAAAGTGAAACTTGTATATTATATTCATACATTACATACAAACTCATATATTTCAGATGTTTATTTTGTTTAATTTTGATGATTACAAATGACAACAAATGAAAATCTCAAATTCATCATATCAGAAAATTAGAATATTACTGAAGACCAATAAAAACAAAGGATTTATAGAAATGTTGGCCAACTGAAAAGTATGAACATGAAAAGTATGAGCATGTACAGCACTCAGTATTTAGTTGGGCCTCCTTTGGCCTGTATTACTGCAGCAATGCGGCGTGGCATGGAGTCGATCAGTCTGTGGCACTGCTCAGGTGTTATGATAGCCCAGGTTGCTCTAATAGTGGCTTTTAGCTCTTCTGAATTGTTGGGTCTGGTGTATTGCATCTTCTTCTTCACAATACCCCATAGATTTTCTATGGGGTTAAGGTCAGGAGAGTTTGCTGGCCAATTAAGAACAGGGATACCATGGTCCTTCAACCAGGTACTGGTAGCTTTGGCACTGTGTGCAGGTGCCAAGTCCTGTTGGAAAATGAAATCTGCATCTCCAAAAAGTTGGTCAGCTGCAGGAAGCATGAAGTGCTCTAAAACTTCCTGGTATGTGGCTGCGTTGACCCTGGACCTCAGAAAACACAATGGACCAACACCAGCAGATGACATGGCACCCCAAACCATCACTGACTGTGGAAACTTTACACTGGACTTCAAGCAACGTGGATGAAGTGCCTCTCTTCTTTTCCTCCAGACTCTGGGACATTGATTTCCAAAGGAAATGCAAAATTTACTTTCATCAGAGAACATGACTTTGGACCACTCACCAGCAGTCCAGTCCTGTTTCTCTTTAGCCCAGGCAAGACGCTTCTGACGCTGTCTGTGGTTCAAGAGTGGCTTGACACAAGGAATGCGACAGCAGAAACCCATGTCTTTCATACGTCTGTGTGTGGTGGTTCTTGAAGCACTCACTCCAGCTGCAGTCCACTCTTTGTGAATCTCCCCCACATTTTTGAATGGGTTTTGTTTCACAATCCTCTCCAGGGTGCGGTTATCTCTCTTGCTTGTACACTTTTTTCGACCACATCTTTTCCTTCCCTTCGCCTCTCTATTAATGTGCTTGGACACTGAGCTCTGTGAACAGCCAGCCTCTTTAGCGATGACCTTTTGTGTCTTGCCCTCCTTGTGCAAGGTGTCGATGGTCGTCTTTTGGACAACTGTCAAGTCAGCAGTCTTCCCCATGATTGTGTAGCCTATAGAACTAGACTGAAAGACCATTTAAAGGCTTTTGCAGGTGGTTTGAGTTAATTAGCTGATTAGAGTGTGGCACCAGGGGCCATCAATTTTGAACCTTTTCACAATATTCTAATTTTCTGATATGATGAATTTGAGATTTTCATTTGTTGTCATTTGTAATCATCAAAATTAAACAAAATAAACATCTGAAATATATGAGTTTGTATGTAATGTATGAATATAATATACAAGTTTCACTTTTTAAATGGAATTACTGAAATCAATCTACTTTTTCATGATATTCTAATTTTATGACCAGCACCTGTAGGGGGTTAAATTCATGTTCTGCATAGATCAAGCTGCTTCCATGATTTTAAATATTTAGATATTTTTGGAAAAACAATCAATTTTATCTTGTTGCTTTTGAGATGGTAATTACTTAATGTTTATGCTGCAGAATTACTTTACTGATCTTTTAAGATTAATTAAAGCTGTTCAGTATAAGTATGTATTTCAAACCAGCTTTCTCTTCACAGAATAATAATGTATTTTTTTTTTTTCTCTCCATGACATCTCCGGACCCATCTTGACCTCCCGTTTTGTGGACTGCAGTACTCTCCCAGCATGCTGACTGGTTACGGGGGAAATCAATCACACCCCAACCCCTCCCATTCGAGGAACCTGTATTCACGTTAATTCTTTTTTTTTTTTTTTTTTGGTAGAAAATGTATAGAAAAAAAATTTTTAGTTTTCATATGAACGGACACTTTAAATGAAAAAAAGATACTAATCTAAATAAAGTGAATGCTAGATGTGAGTCGGTACCACTGAAAACTATTATTAAAAGCGCACCCCCCCCCCCCCCCCCCCCCCCCCCCCCCCCCTGGTCGTAGAAATCTGTGTGAAACTGTGAACAGTGACGAGGCCAGTCTGGACGGTATTGATGCTACAAGCTTTGTAGTTTTATATTCTTACATGTTTCTGTACCACCCCGTTTCTTTTCATGTTTTTATATGAATATTGTGTGGGGAAAAAAAAACAAAAAACGAAACAAAACACTGGCTCGTATCGAAACAACTCATTCTTTTCTGTGAATGGTTAATGCAGTTCCTTCACTTTGTATATATATTTTTTTTATTATTATTACTTTTTATAGGTGGCAATTCTGTATTTTCCTTCTACTACTAATGATGCTACTCTGTATATTTCACTGTTGACTGTATCTCAGTATTCATTAAAAAAGAAAAAAATAACTACCTTGTTAAATGGAGAACTATTTGGAATGGAATGGAGAATTGCCACACTCCAGTCCTAGGAGTGGAAGAACTACAAATCCCACGCAAACATAGCGGTACATAGCAATATGACCTTTGCTACTGGTGCTGCAGTAGCTCTACCGTAACAAGCAATAAGTATGTATAGCATCGGGTTTCTGGGATCTCTCCAAGATATTTCGTGTATATATGGTACGGTTTGAGATTTCATTGAATCCCCCCTCCCCTGCTAACTGACCCTGTTAATTGAGTTTGTATGGTTATCAATGCTCCTTTTGGATGGCATCCTTTTACACTTGAGAGTCTAATATAAATAAAAATAACCTTAATAACCTGTAAACAGTCTTTGTTTTTGTTTTTTTATGAGTGAACAACAAAAGAGATTGCTCTCAATAAATTCCAACAAGAGGTCCACATTTATTGTTATTTTATAAATAAGCATCAACAAAATGAACTCCAGAAGTTCAAAATTAGTCACTAGTGTCTGTCAGAGTCAGCGATCCTTCTTGTTTTGGTATGCATAGTTCAACAGACAAAAATATATACAGCATACAGTCACAGAAGGACAGTTTGGTTTTTGCAAGTGTTAAGGATAGTTAAAAATGACCTGAATTTATTCGTTATGTCATCAAAACCAATACAAAATCCTCCTTTGTTTTCAGCTTCACAGCAGCTAATGTTTGATGTAATTATTACATATTAGAAATAAAGAGGTAAGATGTTAATTTTGATGAGGACTATGAAGCAGGCTTTAAACTCTCTAGAGTATTAATTAGTTTTATTTCAATAACTTCCACCCTGTAGAGCTGTGTAACAACACTGGTTTAAGTGAGATGTGGATCTATGCGGCAGCATTAAGCTGAACTTTCCTCCCTAATAAGGATACTGAACGCTCAGTGTGTGAGGCTACATAGAGTAACACTTGGAAAACCAAATTCAGGTCTGATCTTTATAGTCGTAATCCAAGGTGAAGTAAATATATGAGCTTTTGAGGAAGATTATTTTGGGAACAAAAGCTGAATCTGTCCATTTCATTTAATCAGTAAAAAATTAAAACTGTACTATTGAGTGTCTTTTTGCATTTATCACATCTAAAACTTTTTTGAATAAAGCTTCTGTCACTGGTCTCATCAAGTTGATTTTATTTAAAGGTTTCCTGTGATAGAAGCAACTTCAAACCTTAAGGTAAAGCTTTGCGGGTTATAGGGGAAGCATAGTGTTAGATCTGGCGGATGGTTATAATTAGGGCTGAAACAATTAATCGGATTAATCTTGATTAAGCAATTATTGAAATAATCGTCAACTAATTTAATAATCGATTAATTATTAGCTGGAGTATAGACTCTAAAATATGCCTTTAGCTGACAGAGCAACTCACTGAGCTACCTCTATAGTTCTGCTGCTATAGGCTTAGACTTCTGGAGGACATAAGGACCCCTATTTCATCATTCTATCTCTATTCTCCAACTCTGCGGAATCTTAGTTCAATCTCTAACGTTATGCTCTCTCTGCTTTTTCTCATAGTAGCTTCGCCTCGTCTGTTCCTGTTTGGCTGGGACATTATCCTGGAGAGAAATTGTGAATTGGCGCAATATAAATAAACTGAATTGAATTGAACTTAGAGCAGTAATTATACCAAAATTGTAAAAAAAAAAAAAAACGTTTGTGAACATTTTGCATTTAAATAGAAAAACTTTTTCGTCTTCACCTGGTTTATTGTCTTCTTTAAGGAACCTTTGGTTATCCGATTATTAATCGTAAAAATAATAAACAGATTAATCGATTACCAAAAGAATCGTTAGTTGCAGCCCTAGTTATAATATATGTTTAGGATCACTGTTCCTAGTGGAACTAAATGCCTCTGGGGGACATTTATCCTATTAATAGTACAAACTTGTGCACCAATTATTTGCTTTATAATGAACCTTGGTTAAATACTGTGTTATCAGTTCACCCTGGAGAAGGACCGTTCAAAAAAATCACTGAAACTCCAAAGTATTATGAAATACATATGCATTATTAGTGTATGTATTATACATTTCTGACTAGAAATGTATTTCAGTTTGGTAAGAAAGAAAACAAAAAGTCAAATGTTTGCAGAACTGAAAGCCAGTTTAGAGTTGTGTGTGCAACAGTTTAGCACACAGATTAAACCCTTCAAGAAAAACTCAAATAAAATCCTTCTAAAAGCATTTTTGTTAGAAAACACTGTTTAGCCTGCTGATCCCATGTGGTAAAACATCACAAGAACTAATTTAAACCCTTAATCACCTGTTCAGCCCAGATAAACATCAAGATATTTCACAAATATGCTTGTCAGGGAGGCTAGAGGGGGGAAAAAAAGGAACAAAACAGTCTTTTCATTTTGTGGAAAATGTATCTTTTCCTTCTTTTTCCGCTAAAATCGATTGGCCAGATGTAATCATGTGTTGATTTGAGACCTCCCGCTAAAAAACAACCAGGAATGACTACAGCTTAGCTTACCAGAGCAATCTAGACCCAACTTTGTAGCAATGAAAACTCACAGTTTGCAGAGCCCAAAGTTCAGGTTTATATTCAAAGATCCTGCTTCACAGTTCAGCCATCCATGTGTAGTTGCATATAGTAACACAATCAAACACTTTTACGCCTCACAAATCTCACACCGCAGTGCATAGGTAAACAGCAAAGAGGAAAACGACAGCTGGTAAATACTGATATGACAGAAAATCATCCAAATCTGAGACGACGAAAAAAGAAATCCACCTCAGAACACGTTTCTCTTCATATCTCAGTAACTAAGTCACTAACAATACAACAGTTCAATCGTTACTACAACCTTCAGATAGGTCTCATAGTGTCATCGAATGGTATTGTTTGTCTCAGCCACTTCCATCACCTTTCTTATTGGAAGACCAAAGTATCAAGATAAAGAAAAAGTCATACCAGGGGGAAAGCTTTAACCGCTGTTACAATCGGAAACTTCTTCATTTCGGGAGTAAACTTCGCTCTCTGCTTCTCTTTGGATTTTTCTGTCAGTTAAGAGTATTTTAGTGAATTCCCTGAAGACATTTCTTTAATGAAGTGTTTCTAAAAACATAAAGAAAAAAAGTAGTCTTTAATTTTCCCAGAGGAATTTTTGTTTTTCCACACCAGATGGATCACTTGTTTGGGCTGTCGGGGTTTAACCATGAACCGTCCTCCTCCACCTCCCGTTGGACCACCAGCAGCATCTCTGCCACATCCTGAGAAAGCTGCTCGCTAAGAAATGTGCTGCAAGAAAGCAAGAGAGGAGACATATTAGAAGGAGAGTGAAGAGTCCAGAAGCCAAACAAAAGGAGTGAGGTAACCTCCATGTGACTGCTCGCATGGGAATGACTCAGTCCCTAAGACGGGGGTTCGAACAAGGCACCAGAGCCAAGATTTGATCTAATCCAGAGCAGACCGCATTCCTACCGTAGCTCTGCTTCTCCTCCGATGCAGACAGGACTCTTCAGTTTGGAGTCCAAGTTGTAGTACTGTCCGTTAACCTGCCGAACGGCGAGCCAGTGACGCCGACGGAGCGGGAGGGACACGATGCCCAAAGACACTCTGGAGGGGACGTTGAGAATAAAACCCTGGACCTTTGACACGCAGAGACTCTGAACTGTCCTGTAGGTTAAAAAAAGGCAGAGATAAATAAAAACTAACTGGTTATTCTGCATTCAGATGATTCTAGAAGACATTTTTATGTTTAATAATCGGTTCTTTAAGTAAAACTGGGCCAACATTAACAAACGATATTAATTCCCATGCATTTTGCTTCAGAGGGGAAAAAGGAGGTGATCGGTCCCACAGTATTTGTTGATATGACCATGATTATGATGCAGCTCAGTTTTGTGGGTGTTTGACTGAAGCAGATGCTTAACAACCCAAATATATGATATTGGTACAAACTGGTTATTAGACATAAGGGCAATTAATATTAATATCAACATCGGCCCAGATTTTCATATCTTTGCAACTCTATAATAAACACCACGAATGAGTCACTTGGGTTTACAACCAACAAATAGCATCACCTATTATGTAGAATAAAAATGATGCCTGGCTTTCTCATTTTTCAATTATATTTCAACTCCAAGTAAATAGTAGGAGTGCAACAGTACATCAAAATCACAGTTTGCTCTAATTATGTTCCAACTCAATAAAAATAAAATAAAAAATAATATATATATATATATATATATATATATATATATATATATATATATATATATATATATATATATATATATATATATATATATATATATATATATAAATAAATTCTACATGTTTCCAACTTCTGAAATCAATGTAACTTTATTTGGTTTTAAAGCTTAGAAAAATTGAAAATCGGAAATTTGGTTGGATTTTTCTTTTCAATTAATAGAGGAGTATATGCAAGAGATTTAAGGACCCTTCTTCCTTTTTATTTGAGTCATCTCAACTCTTTTCTAAACAGGGAGGTTTCAAAAATGTTTAAGGATCATTGCAAGGTTTCTATATATTATTAAATTATACCTTTCTATATGTAAGGTTTCTTTATATGTGATAGAAAACAAAATCAATGCAAGAACATCTGGACAGTTTATGGTATTTAGTCAGACTCCTGGTAAAATGAGAGAGAGTCAGAGACAAAGCCCTCTGGATTTAAGCATAGGAGAGAGGGAAGCCATGGATAGGAGCAAGACGACGCAAAAGGGTAAGCTAATGCTAGCTTGTTTAGTGGTCATTTAGGCAATAAACCCAGAAAGGTTGATAACTCTGCTCAAAACAACCTCTTTAGAGTGCAAGGAATGTGTTATATGTAGGTTAGCACTGGTATTGGACAGCTCCCTTAGGACAATCCACTCCCATCCCAAAAATAATACTACGCATTGTGGTTGCAGCATCATGCTTTGGGCAGGCTTTTCTGTCAGCAGCGACAGCAGAATGTGTCAGTGCTGATGGAAAAATGGTTTGAAGCTGAATACAAGATAATCTGTAAAGAACCCGGTTAGAACCAGGTGTAATGGTTCTAACTCTAAAACATCAAAAATATATATAAAATTGTGGCAGTAAACAAATGTAAAAGTTTCCTATAATAACCATAATTTTTGAAAAATGAACAACTATTTTTCTTTTTTTTTTTTCAAAGGGCGATGAAACATCCCCGGCTCTAATCAGCTTTTATTTAGCTAGACTGAAGCCAAAAATGGATACTCAGGTTATCAAGTTTCCAGACGCCTGCCCAACACGAAGCCTTCGATCCAATCATATTTATATGTTAGAGTGGCCCAGTCAAAGTCCAGACCTAGCTCCAGTTAAGAGGCTGTGGCAAATCGTGTGAGAAAAGCCGGAAGAACAAAGCCCTAAAATACTTACAGCAATAATTATGCAAAAGGTGTTTCTATTGCTTCCAAAGGTGCAAAACAGTGTGTCCTTTTTATTGCCCTATCACATAAAAGGGCAATAAAAACACAGATGTTGGTGCTTATGACGTGGCATCATTTAAAATGATTTAATGGGGCATAGAAACTACAGCAGGGTGCTATAATAACATTTAACCCCACTTTACCACTCACCTGCGTTTGTCCCACCACACTGCGGCCAGGTCCCTGCTCTGCAACGCTGCCATAATCACATTAACGTCATAGTTTCCTGTTCCTAATACTGACCGATGCGGGTTTACAACACACTGTGGAGCCAGTCTGTAAAGAGAGGAAGTTATATTTAAGAGAGAGTAAACTATTAAACACTGCTTCATTTAAACTTTGAAAACTGCCTCATAGACTTCTTTAAATACGTGTTAGTTATTTTTTGAAAACCCACAGAGATCATGACTAATTCTTCGTCATGTTCATTCAGGCTTAAGGCCAACATTGTGAGCAGTGGTTTCTATAAACACAATGGCTTTATTTGTGAGAAGCAGCACTGCTGTCATTTTCCCTGAAGGTTTTTCTCGAACATTTCTTAACAGAGACTTTGTACAAAATGTGGCAAATCCATTTCAGCAAACATCATGACACAAAGACAAGGGTTTCAGATTACAGCGGCGTGGACAGATTCCTAGTGTTTTTGCTTTTTAACGACGCTGTTAAACGTCAGACCATCACACCAGATAGCAAATAGCAAAGCAAATATAAAATGCAGTTTTCAGATTATGATTTTGTTATTGGAATACGGCGATATAGACCAACCTGATCCTCTGTTGAATTAAATCAGGCCTAAATTTAGACTTAGACAACTTTTATTGTCATTTATTAAGCTGTCCAGCTTTTTCATTTGCATTCCTTTGCATTGAAATTCACTCTCTTCATGTAACCCATCCCATTGGGAAGCAGTGGGCTGCCATAGTGCGACGCCCGGGGAGCAGTGTGGGGTTAAGGGTCTTGCTCAGGGACCCAGAGTGGCAGTCAATGGGAGTGGGGCTTGAAGCCAGAACCTCTGGATTCGAAGCGCAATGCCCTAACCGCCACTCCCCACCAATTAATATTTGATTACCTATTTTAATCTTCCAAGAACTAGAATTTGTGATAAATTTTTTGCAGCATAAAATGCTTAAAGATTCAAGGAGGACACAGAATGACAATACTTAACCCTTTATGGAGCACTCAACAAAATACTATGACATTTAAAATGTATTATTGGAGCAAAAAAAAAACAAGACCTTATTACTTTTGTCTCATTTAAGAAAAAAGAAAAGGCATTTTAGGTAGCCTAGTAAACTAGACCCACCTGCCAGCAGCCAAAATCATTTTTGCCTGCGAGTTTTACACATTTAATCTCACACTTAGTCTGGTTTATCAGGCTACATTTTAGGGCAAAAAAAAAAATAAATCAAGTAAATTTAAAAACCAAAAACAGTCCTTTGCCCTAACATTGTAAAAAAAAAAAAATCAAAGGACTAATTTTTACAAAGAAATTCATGAAAAACACAAAAAGAAAAAAAATTTTTGTTGCCCTAGATGCAAGAGCAGTGTTCTTGTGCTCTGAGAAGGATGCAAGGACCCGGTTTGATTCCCACAGACTGCCACTCTGGTTCCCTGAGCAAAACCCTTATGCCCCACACTGCCACACTGCTCTCCGGGCGCCACACAGTGCCAGCCCCAGGGGATGGGTTAAACAGGGGCGGAGATAGATGGGGGACCAGGGGTGGCCATGGCCACCCTTAGCCAATCATTGGCCAGCCCTGTAGCCACCACTACAATTTCTAACCCTCTATTACAGATGGTGGCAGCAGTAATGCTCTCAATATTCAAAACAGTTTAATTTTTCATATATTGACAATTACTTGACAACAAAAGCACTGTGGTTAATTATGCACTTTAATATACTAGCATTAAAGATGATATATGCAGAAATCACGCTCTTTTCAGAACTACATTTTGTGTTATATGGCGTAGAGAGAAAATTATGTGTCTCTGCAAGTCATCTAGAAGTCTTCAGTAAAATAATAGATAACTATTTGAATAAAAACATATTAAATAATCCATTTATGTAGATATTAGTACTTGTAAATATACATTTTATTCAGAATGATAATTAATAAAAATAGGTAAGTAATGAGAATGGAAAAGATGTTCACCCCAGCACTCAAACCTGAAAGAATTTTATCCACTATACCTTTTATCTAGACGGATGTTTAAATAATGTCTGTAATTGTTAGCAAAGGCTGTTGGAAAGTATAGTTTGTCTTAATTTAAAAAATATCGACTTTATGCTCGTTAATTTTCCTGTTGGAACAGTGTAGATTGACGTGAGGTTCTGGCACCTATCCACCTCCGGCCACCTCTCTGAGTACATTGCTTATTGCCTGGCCACCCTTATAAAACTTTTCTGGCTACGCCTCTGTTCAAGTGTTCACTTTGTTTTGGTTTTGTACCTTGCTGATGCTCAGAGGGCTGAGATCAGTGCATTGTTTCTTTTATTGTCAAAAACAATAAAGATAAAAATTGGGGGGAATAAATAAATATGATAACCTAGATGATAAAGATTTCTAAACTTTCTATATTAAGAAGAACTAACTGGAACAATCCTTCACAGCTCGATGTATGCTGCTCTTCACTAACTTTCACTTTCTCGGTTAGTTTAGCTCTTCTTTCCCTGCTGTTGAAACAGTCTCCAGTGACATGGATGCTGAGGAGCAGTCAGAGGAAGCTGTTTGGCTTTTCTCTGCTGCAGCTTTTTACCGTTTACAGATGTCATCGGCTGTCTCCTTGGTGAACACCCGCTCCTGAAGCACATTGTTGAGCGCATGTATGGCGCACAGCTCCAAGCGCTGCTTCTCGTGAAACACTTCCCCGTCACTCATAGTAAAACTTTTAAGAAAAACAGACACAAAAAGTAACGTTATTTAAAAAGCAGTTACACGTTACCGCTGCTCTCATGCTAGTTAGCGTCTCCTTACCCGCGCGGAGGCTAACAGAGTTAGCCTGCTGAATGTACTCTTTCTTTTTAGGCTGCCGAGAACGTGGAAAAAAAGGTATTATGATTTAACAAAAGCCGAATGAAGCTAGTGACTTGCTGATAAAGCGAATCCCTCAAATGATGCTGGACTCTGAAACCGGAAGTAGGGCTGTTGTTGTTGTTGTGATGCTGCTGCTGCGGCTGTTGTTGAGAGGCTCACACCCCGCTGTCCACTGTGAGAAAATAAACTCCCTCCGCGTCGTTGGATCGGTTTAACCCTTTGACATAAAAAAACAAACTAAAAACTGTCCACGAAGACAACTTAGGTTGAAAAGGCAGACCTAAAATCAGCTAAAGGCAGATACTGTGCTATAGCGCTCTCTTGTGGTGAGTCAGTGAAAGCTTGTGACTGTAAATATATTGAACTTCATCCTAAAACAGTACTGGAATCCCCCTGTTCCAAATTAAGCTTATAATATTATTATTATTATTATTATTATGATTGTGTTGTAGTAGTAGTTTGGGATGGAGCACTTATACAAAGAGAATAGATAAATGTCCTAAGATATTAAAAAAAAAAGGGCTCTTATAAAACTGAAGATGTATTACAAAACACAAAAAACCCCACCCTGTCTCGGGTTCTGAGCCGGTCCTCTCATGTAAACATCATTTAGAAGAAGGCCAAGCAGAAACTGTACCTTCCACACGAACTAAGGGATTATACAATCAATAACAGGAGATGCTGGTTTTCTTTTACATCGCCTTCATTCAGTCTATTTTGTGCATATTTATCTCAGCGTTGTGTAACAATAATTTACCAATAGTTTATTTGATAGTAGAATGACAGGAAAGAGATGAAAGAGAGGGGGAGAGAAGATGTGCAGCCCAGATCTTTGGGTCAGGGTTCAATTTTGGGATTACTGCCCCGAGAAATAAGGCCTCTGTATATGTGCTACCACTGAATTTCTGCCATGTACTCTAAATGTAGTTTTTCCTCAAACAGGGCTGGACTGAACTGGACTGCAATGAAGTTAGGTTCATTGCTGGATTGGTCATAGTAGTTACAACCTAATGGCTTTCCATCACATTAAGCAAGATTTTCAGCCCCAGTTTAATACTTCTGCGAAAATACAACACAGCATCAAACAGGTTTCTAATTTGTATGAGAAATCAGAATTTAATATGTTGTCAACAGATGAAATAATAAATGTAAATCCTGAAGTTCTGAGTTCTAAGTCTCAAAGCCACTCTGGGTCCCTGAGCAAAAGACCCTTAACACTGCTCCCTGGGCGCTGCACAATGGTAGCCCAAAGGGATGGGTTAAATGCAGAGATTGAATTTCAATGCTCTGTACTTGTGACAGTGTGATGATAATAAAAGATGGGAAGACAGAAAAGAAAAAAAATTGCCTGCTCATTTTAAATCACCTTATACCACATTTTCAACAAAAAACACAAATGGTGCCTCACTGTGAGGATGTAAGATAAATACTGATGCTTGGATTTAAAAGCGTTGTGTTTTGATTGACTGTAGAATTTGAATGCAATGTGTCCTAATATGTTATATATTTTTGGTGACTCCACAACTAGAGTCTCTGAGCGCCGTTAACCTATGCTGGCGTTTAGATGATGCTGACCCAATATTGTTAGGGGTTTGTAAGTTTTTTTGAAAATAACCAATGACTGAGGAGTATCACTCGTGAGTCTAGATCCGTGGCTCTGATAGGGCTGATCTATATGATGAAACAAGATTGTTGAGCCGTGATTGGCTAAACCTTCGTGACGTTTCAAACAACCAACGTTTCCATTGGTCTGCGATAGGTTAAACCGTAGAACATATTTTTGTTCCTGTGTCAACGTATAGAAAAAGAAAAAAAGCATCTTAATGACCTCCGAGAACAGACAGTCTTAATCTAAATTATTTATTAATTTAAAAAAAATTAAACAGAGGTTCTTTATATCTGAAACAAGCCATATATTCGTCGTCATTCTCGAAGATGGTAAGATAAATGACCGAGTCTGTTGCTAACTGTTAGCTGCTAGCTTGAACCGACATTTATTGATCGAAAGCTCTTTTGAGTATTCAGTTTGTGTTCTTAAAATGTTTGTCAACAATAGATAAACAATTGGTCTAGTTAATTTAATAGGTCACATTCCAACAAAAACAGTGGTTTATCGGCCGCTAACACTCGATTCTAACCATCCTAAGCTAGGTTTGTAATGCTAACCGTTTCTTTTAATTAACTTTATGAGATACTCACTACGATACCTTACAAAAAACTTACTTTTAAATATGAATTGTACTTTTTTTTTACTAAGCGAAACATTATTTACTCTTATGAACCGTCTGTCTTTACTGCTGGCATGATGGAAATGAATAACCAGCTAAGGTTTGATATGCTGAGGCGTTAAAGAAAATGGCCAAATCTAATAACAACATATTACACAGGGAAGAAATTTAATGAAAAAACTGTTATATTATTTTAATGCCAGACTAATCTGTACTGTTGTCAAGAGCTTAAAAAGTCAAAGGAGATATTTTATATAATTAGGGAAGAGCTTGACAAAAAAAACTTACCGTTTTAGGAACAATATCAGGATTAAGAACGTGGGATAGGATAATTCTACTGTTAATGTATTGTTTTAGTATTTAGTGTTATATTTGAAATGTACTACCTTCAGGAGAAATCTGTTAGATCTTCCCTTTCTATCATGCCATAGTCAGTTTATCATATTCTTTGTAACATAAGATGAACTTTGGATTAAGGTGTCTTGTGAACTTTTAATTAAATTTGGACAAATGAATCAGCAGCAGATCAGAAATGATTTTTGGGGTTTTGAGTGCAGTTAGTTCAGTCTCAGCTGTACAGTTTATTCAGAATGACCACAAAGAGGTTCTAGATGCTTTTTAACATAACCACAATAAATAACTCTAAATGTTAATCTGAATTTTGTATTCCTTACCACCAATTTCTTTGTGCTGGTAAACACATTTCTAATGGTGGTGTGTTATGTATATTTAAAATAATAATAATAATAAACTCATTTGCTTTCACTAGGTTTTATTTCATGTTTCATGAACAGGAATGTCTATATACAACCTTTTTTTTTTATTTCTGTTACAGTAATGCTTTTGCAGCCTTTAGTATTAGCCAATACTGATATGGACCTGATACAGTATCAGGACAAATCATAAATATTTGTTACCTATTATTGGTGTAAAAGGTTAGAAAAGGCTTGATCAATAAAAATTATATTACTGTACAAAGAATAGTCGGCATCGATGGATGAGAGACCTGACCAATTTTTCTTTTAAATATTCTACAATTGAAAAAATATATAGATATATTAATTAGCGAGAAGACTGGACACTTTACGATATACGTTTTAAACTCGGCTGCAATGTCTTCTTTGAAATTTAATTAAAAGTACCATTTCATAACATTTATTTAGTTAATTTCTTTAATTGACCTGTCGTTTTAACCCATCTTATTGTTTGCTAAATATTTTACCATCTCTCTCTTCAGAACTCTAATGTAGAGAATTTGCCCCCTCACGTTCTGCGCCTGGTCTACAAAGAAGTTTCAGCTTTGGCTGCAGACCCACCTGAGGGCATCAAGATCTACCCTAGTGAGGAAGACATAACTGAACTTCACACGTCTATCGAAGGACCAGGTAGAGTATTCATAGTATTCACATCCACTTCAACTCTTTCAAAATGTGTTATTTAATGACAAAGAACTAAAAAAATTAAATGTATCATCCATTGCACAGCATGGTGTCACTTAATTAATAATCAGGCTGGGCCAGTAGGTCATATTCAAAGGAAGCAGTCAATAGGGGTCTTGATAACTATTGGTAATCTATGAGTTGTGTTGTGCATGCCATAAACCAGGTTTTATAAAGGGGTAAAAAAAATAGCTTCTTCTTGAAAAAGCCAGTCCTGTTTGCAGTTTGGCACAAGCTCGTAGATGACATGGTAAACATCAGCATTTTGATGGTCTTTTAAAGGCTTTGTGCAGTAGGCAGCAGGCTACTAATTGTCCTCCAGATATAGTGTTTCATATGTACACCAAAACTAAAGCACAGTGGGGCAGCATCATGCTGCAGGGTGTTTTTCTTCAGCAGGGACATGAAAGCTAGTTGGAGTTAATATGCAGATATTATATTAAGTGTAAACCAGGGTTCTCATTAGGTTTTTTTGTGAATGGAAGAGGAATGGGGGTGGTTGATAGAGATTCAAAATAACTTATTTTTTCTTCTATGCTCTACCCATCTTTCTCCTTTCTTTTTGAGCTTCTTTCAGTTTTCCTCATGTGAGGATGGTCAGTTTATATCTCAATATGCTAAGTATCAGATTGACCAGGTGAGAACTTGCGCCGTTTCCCCTTGCAGCCGCAACAAATGATGCTGCGTTTTATAGGGTAGAGAAAAATACTTTGGTCCCGGGTCAGTTCAACTAGATATATCGGCTGTTGGGAATCATCTCAACCACTCCACCTGCCTTTGTTCCCCATCTTCTTCGTTTGCAAGCGCCCCTGACTCAGTGCAAGTCTGCTAGATGAGTATGACGGTGCAGAGACAGACAGGGGTGTGGGGTGGGTTGTTGTGTCTTTAGCGGGGCGAGCAAATCAAGGTCCTCAAACAATCAGGATTCTCATGTATGTGTGCGAACAGGATGGTCAATTTAAGGGATATTTTTATTTTGCGATGGGATAACGATGTTGTAGCTTTGAGTATTGATTAATATTGTCACAATGCTATATCAGCACAAATCATATACACTTTTATTACTCATTTTTCAGTGTGGAATATTATAAAAGGTTGATAAAGTGATATTATTATAATTATTAAAAAGAACAACTGTCAAAAACAATAAGTATGATAACAGCTAACTATTTTCTTATTAACCTTTGGGTTACATTAACATTAGATGGAGGAGGAGGGTTTCATTCAGCTTGCTAATATGTGTGATTTTAGATACAGGCCAATATATTCAGATATTCATTTTCTGTCTGGTATTAAATGTTGAATCTGGAGATCTAATTTCTGCAGCCATAAGGCTAATTAAATTTCAGTGTACACTGAAATGTAGAAATGGAAAGAACTCTGTTTTACAAAACTTGCAGTTAATGTTCAGAAACTCTGCCCCTAATCTGGCAAAGTTAATGCTACTTTGAAAAGGTACCTAGAAGTTCCAAACCATAAAGAAATGTAAAACTTAAAACGCTGGGAAAAGGCAGAACAAATTCAGGACAACAAAATGTACGCTGTGCCAAGATATCGGACAGAGTTCGATACTTCAGGGTAAAGATCTTCATTTCCTTTTTTTCTTTCTTTTTTTTTTTCTTTACGGTGTCCTGTCTGGCAATGTGGCAATAAGAATAATTGTCTTGATGCCAAAAAGAGCCCAACAGATTTTACTTTCACAAGTGTAGTAGTATTGCAATTGCCATATTGCTCCACTTGTTTCATGCATATAAATTGCTTTATTATACCGTATTTTCACGACCATAAGGCGCACCGTACTAAAAGGCGCAGTCTCAGTTATATGTCCCATTTCTGTATTTAACACACACATAAGGCGCACCGGACTATAGGGCGCGTTTTTTATATACAGGTACATGTCCTCTACTACCTTTAAATACCTCTACTGCGTATTTAAAAATACAGCGGGGGCAAAACTGAGTATGACTGTGCTTTATTCATGTATTTATTAAAAAGTATTAATCAAACCTGGCAGCTGGCCGTGAGACAGACACATCGCAGATGACACAGCGCTGTGGTCACTCCTAAATTAACTTAAAATCCTGAAACCTGCCGACGGAATATGTTCGCTTTTATGGGTGCCTGCAGTTTAAATTATTTAGATGAAAAACACCTGCCATCCACCGCGTGAACCTGGAGGCTGCCCAGCCTAGAGGCTGCTGATGAAAGGATTTCTCCTGTCGGCGCACCGCTGGTATGTGGGGGTCTGAGCGCCTCCGACAGAAATAGATAATCTGGATGAACTGACTGCAATTATTAAGTTTTCAGGTGGACTTTCTCACTTAAAAACATATTAAAACTACTTTATTCCCACTGATCACAGCAAATATAGCTGCAAGATTTAGATTATTTAGATGAAAAAACACCTGCCAGCCGCCGCGGTGAAGAGGAGGAGACCCGCCCAGAGGCTGCTGTTGAATTAAGTTTTCAGGTAGAAAAATAGAGCGGGAGCAAAACTGAGTATGATTGTGCTTTATTCATGTATTTATTACAAAGTATTAATCAAACCCATCAAAGTCATCATCCTCTGTTTCTGAATTAAACAGCTGCGCTAAATCAGACATGCCAATTTCCCCTTCTTCGCTGTCAGTCACTTTCCGTGCAGCGCAGCTCCTCAGAAATAATGCCGGCTTTTGCAAAAGCTTGAACAACAGAGCCAGCAGACACGTTAGTCCATCTACAATCCATCCGCAAACGGTGGCGTAACTTGCCCGGCGCTGCCTTCCACTTATCCTGAAACTGTGGTCTCTGTCTGTCATCCATCGCTCCCACGCCGCTCGCAGCCTTACTTTGAACGGCCGCTTCACACTGATGTCGAGCGGTTGAAGCTCCTTTGTCAGACCCCCCGGGATAACGGCGAGCACAGTATCCATTTGATTCACCTTTTTTTTTCACATCGGCTGTGAGATGGGCACGCAGCGATGGTGATGCGTGGAAAAAACCACCTGGTCTCCTCACATAGGCTACACCTCCCTCAGCTACGCTTTCATCATCTCCTCATCCATCCAGCCTTTTCCATTTGCCTTAATATCATATGTCATCAGAGCGCTGTGTCTGTCTCGCTGTCAGCTCCCAGATCAGCTTCTCTGATTGGTTGATGCGGCGCGTCCAGCAGCAAAACTTAAATTTTTCCATCTCGAGCAGCAGCAGCGCGTTGGCAGATGCTTAAACGCTCCTGCTGCTCAAAACGCGCTGCAGGACCTTTTGCTGCACCTATACGCGCGTCAACCATTTACTTTGCATGTAAACTCGCTGCTTCTGCTGCACCTGCTGGGTCCGGTTCACACCGATGTCGAGCGGTTGAACAGCGAGCACAGGGTTAATTTGTTTCCCCATGTTTTTCACATCAGCTGTGAGATGGGCATGCATGGAGTTACATATTAACAGCGATGGTGATGAGTGGAAAAAAAACACCTGGTCTCCTTACATTCAGCCACTCTTTCATCATCTCCTCAATGAGGTGGTCTCAAAAGTCGCAGTTACAACACACATAGGGCGCACCGCACCATAGGGCGCACTGCACATTTTGAGGGGAAAAAAAGACGTTTAAGTGCGCCTTATAGTCGTGAAAATACGGTAATTATGCAGGGAGTTTTACAGTTTATATGGACACTGCAATGTAAATAGAGCAGAAAAACAGAAGCAGAAAAGGAAAAAAGAAAAAAAAAAGAGAAATTAATTTCCTTTATTTGTGGTAGACTTTTTGTGCAGAACAGCAACACACAGTGATGACATTAGGCTGTTTATTATCTAAAAGAAAATGGCATTATTAATCTACTTCTATTTTTATCGTTTAAGGACTTAATGGGTGTTGTGAGTCAGAATACATGGATCAGCTGCAGTCAGTGGCCTCCATGCTTGTTTCTTTAACTAAGATGAGACATAGAATTAAACAAATATATTTCAATCCATCATATAGAACCTTCTCTGCACTCGCTTATTTGTTCAACAGGGATGCGAACAGTAATATTAGCATCCATGTATTGAATTGTATTAAGTCCTTAAAGGATAGCTGCACATGGGTGTAAACAGGTTTGCAGTGGTAGAGGTCTTGTGTAACATGTATATTATATATAATGCTTAATATTTCTAGGTGTTAAACTCGTATTTTACCGGCTTGTCTGAGATAAAGGTATTTGTTCATTTCATTTCTTCAAAGTAAAGCTGTGTGTTTTATAAGATGGTTATTGATAATTTTTTCAGTTTGTATGGCTGACGTGGTCTGTTAGTTTTATATTTATACATATATGATTTTTTTTCCACAGCTGCACTGCTGTAACCCTGTTTTTTACTTTTTTTTTGTGTGTTAAAAACATTGTACTGAAGGGGATTGGCAAAGTATTGATATTCATGCCTATGTAATGAATTCTTTATGCTCTGACAGAGGGAACACCATTTGCCGGCGGCATTTTCCGAATGCGACTGGTCCTCGGGAAGGACTTCCCTGCTGTTCCACCCAAGGGGTATTTCCTGACCAAGATTTTTCACCCAAACGTGGGTCACAAGGGGGAGATCTGTGTCAATGTGCTGAAGAGGGACTGGAAGGCAGAACTTGGCCTCAGACATGTCTTACTTGTAAGATTTACCTTTTAAGTTTTGTGTCTTGAATCTACTCAGTGTGATCTAAATGATTCTTAAACTGTTTTATTTGCCTCTTTTCTTTCCCCCAAAAGACCATCAAGTGTCTCCTCATCCATCCAAACCCTGAATCAGCTCTAAATGAGGAGGCCGGGCGCTTGCTTTTAGAGGATTATGCTGAGTACGAGTCTCGCGCCCGTCTGCTTACAGAAATTCACGCTATGGGTGGGCTGGGCGGGACCTCCGGTGCACCTCAGGACCCTAACGACGGCCCACAGCCAAAGAAGCACGCAGGTGACCCTACGAAAAGAGCGGGGCCCAGTGTGGCAGCTGTACCAGCAGCTCTGGGTAACGGAGCTAATGGCGCCAGTACCACCAGCAGCAACAGTAGTAGTAACATCAATAATGTAGCAGGGAAAAAGAAAGCAGATAAAAAGCGTGCGCTGAGACGACTTTAATACCTCAACAACATTTGTGTGTATGAGCGTGAGTGAGTGTAAATAAAAGTATTGAATTGTGTTGACAGAATTGTTAGTTCTTTTGCTCTGGCTCTTTCTAGACTGTCCCTGATGTACCTCTGTTTTGCCTCCAGTTTGCTTGATCCTAATCGCACTACAGGTTTGTTAATTGTTTCCATACCGAAGACACTATGAAAAGCATCTAAACAGATTTTTTGCAGCAGAATCATGCCGATCATCTATGTTCTTCCTTTGAGCCAGTCTGAATGAACATCACTTAAATATGGAATTTTTATGTCTATTAATGATACACGGTTCGTATTGTTTTGGACTTTAATCAGGTATTTTTCAAGTGTTTCTTGCTGCTGTGGTGGTACTGTGTACTGCACTGCATGCCTTGCTCTTGAGTCTGAACTAGGAGAGACTTTTCAAACTGCTCAAAGGACTTTTATGAAAAATTTGCTAAAACTGTTGCGATGAAGTAACTTTTGTAAGTTGTAATTTTCATATCATGGTCCAAATGTGGTGAAGGCATGGAAGAATTAACATTGGATTATAGGAAGTCTGTTGTTTCTTTAGTTTTTGAATAAAATATTTTCACTGTCCGGTGTTTTCCAATCTTTAAAAATATCCATATTTGGATGTACAGGTGCTGGTCATAAAATTAGAATATCATGAAAAAGTAGATTGATTTCAGTAATTCCATTTAAAAAGTGAAACTTGTATATTATATTCATACATTACATACAAACTCATATATTTCAGATGTTTATTTTGTTTAATTTTGATGATTACAAATGACAACAAATGAAAATCTCAAATTCATCATATCAGAAAATTAGAATATTACTGAAGACCAATAAAAACAAAGGATTTATAGAAATGTTGGCCAACTGAAAAGTATGAACATGAAAAGTATGAGCATGTACAGCACTCAGTATTTAGTTGGGCCTCCTTTGGCCTGTATTACTGCAGCAATGCGGCGTGGCATGGAGTCGATCAGTCTGTGGCACTGCTCAGGTGTTATGATAGCCCAGGTTGCTCTAATAGTGGCTTTTAGCTCTTCTGAATTGTTGGGTCTGGTGTATTGCATCTTCTTCTTCACAATACCCCATAGATTTTCTATGGGGTTAAGGTCAGGAGAGTTTGCTGGCCAATTAAGAACAGGGATACCATGGTCCTTCAATTAGTTAATTAGCTGATTAGAGTGTGGCACCAGGGGCCATCAATTTTGAACCTTTTCACAATATTCTAATTTTCTGATATGATGAATTTGAGATTTTCATTTGTTGTCATTTGTAATCATCAAAATTAAACAAAATAAACATCTGAAATATATGAGTTTGTATGTAATGTATGAATATAATATACAAGTTTCACTTTTTTAATGGAATTACTGAAATCAATCTACTTTTTCATGATATTCTAATTTTATGACCAGCACCTGTACATAAATGTTAGTCATTTAATGTCTATCCATATGAATTAGGACTGTGTTTTTGTTTAGAGTGGTCTGCTCTGATGGAATAATCATTATGAGGAGAAGACTAATTGCATCCACCCCTGCAAACCAGTCAGTGCAAGTGCACCCGGCAGTGCGTCTTTGGACCATAATAACGGGCTCCACCGGCCTCTGGCGCAGACATGCAGTAGCCCACACACCTGTGTAGAAATAGCAGCCTGCCATGCAGGTAATTATCAGGCCCTTCTTAGGTACCTGGGGCTTCACCTAACCCCCCCTACACACCCCCATCACCTCTATCAGCTGGTATACATCTCTTTTCAATGTTCTACTACAAACCTGGAGGTCCACACTTTTTATTTCATTTTTTTCTAATCAAGAGCAATACTGTAAGTTGGGTAATTCAATTGTTTCAGTACCGTGACTCACCCTGTTGGCCTGATAATTAAAATATGGAAATTATAGAATATTTCCATTAATTTCTTTTTTTTTTTTTTAGCATCTGATGATTTTGAATTCAACATCCTCTGCGTCTTTTTCAACCAGTCGTTGTTATTTCGAGGCTATCCCTGTGCCCATCGCTTGCTGACAGAAAGCCGAGCTGTCGGGCTGCAGCTCGGTCTAATTGACAGTTTCGTTCACGCTCCAGAGTTAAAGCTTTTGCGCCAGTCCTCTCCCCGCACCTCACCCGCTTTCATCGCTTTCATAATTGCCACCAACATAATGACACAGTTGCCGTGGCAACCGTGCCTCTCTGCGTCTCTTTTCTTCCTCTGCCGCGCGCGCACACACAAGAAAATAACACAAACACACTATCTGGATACGGAAGATTGAATCTGTACATTCTATTTTAATAGAATTGTTCTGTATATATAAAAGTTGAATTTGTTCTGCGATAAAATTATATATGATAAACTGCAAAAAAAAAAAAAATCTGTAATTCCTAATGTGTAATCTAGGTAACTATAGGTCACTTAGTTTTATAAAAGGTGACTAAATGGGGATGAACACCAGTTGAATGGGCCTGTTCTCAGTCAGCATCAAGCAGCCAGGAGTCGGGTCTGATGGTTGATCAGTCAGACGGACCAATCACAGCGCTCCGCCACTGACGGACTTCCATGAGGCCAGGCGCAGTTAGTTAGACACACAAACCAGATCAACCAGCGTCAGTCAGTCCGTCTCCTCAAATTGCTTAAGTTAATTTTACACTTTTGCCTCTTTTTCCTGGGAAATCTATTTTGATTTGCGATGCGGGGTTAAACTAAATTGAAACATGTTTGAGAAAATCTGAGAATATAATTTTTTTTATTTATTTTCTTGCCTACCTCTGGATTATCAATACGCCCGATGAAGGAGGAAATAATCTAAGATCGGAAGTGCTTTACAAAAAAAAAAAAAAAAAAACTTGAAACAGGTGGCACATCTAGCAGCAGCGGTTCAGTCTGTCCTCATCATTTTCTGCCAAGATAACAGGCTGCCATCAGAGAAGCGCTGAGATGTACAGTGCGCAGGCTCTCCACAGCATCAAACCCCAGAGCAGCGCACAGGTAAGACACGACATTATTCACCTTTTTATGCCTGCAACATCACTGAACGATTTAATAATTATTATTATTAAGAAAAACATCTGGATACTTTCACCGTCTTTGCATGTGTATGGAAATGTAAGTTTGTTATCTGCGTCTTTTTTGTCTGTCAAATAAAAACATTTAGGTAAAAGGTGCGCCACACTGTCGCATCTTTATATTCGCTTTTATTATAGAGCGTCTTATTAGTAGTTTTAGTGCATTAATAGGCAATACTGCGGCGTTATGGACATTTTAAAACCATTCATAAGACGCACACACATGCGCGGATCCACCCCCGCACTTTTATCCTGTGCTGAATACATGCAAGTCATGTCCATACAAGTTGGGACTTATTAACCTAATGAAAGATGGAGAGGTGTCTGAGGAGCGGGGTGTCCAGTTCAGTCGCCTGGTGATGCACAGGCGTTGCGCAGCACGCATTCACCAATAAAGCCTTCCTTCATCCGCGGATGTCACTGTCATTAAACGTCTCTCAGATGCACAGTGATAGCATGTGGGATGTTTTCACTCACTGACACCACAGTCATCTCTGTGAGTATAAAGAATAGAAAAGATAATATTAAAAAAAAGTGGCCATTTTGTTTCATTCCCAACAAACACCTGTTGAGATTGCATGCTTTGACTCGCTCATGTTTTTTTTTTCTGCAGTGGATCCCAATTTGCTTTGCTGCAGTTTAAACCTGATTTTTGTTTCTGTACTGTTGTAGCGTGGAAGTGGGGAGTGGGTTGGGTGGGGGGTCATCCTCAACAATGTGAATGTATGTGCAACCCACAACCTTTGCTTCCCAATCTAGACCTCAAGGAAGGAAGGAGTCATTTTGCTGGAAAATTAAAAACAGGAAAAGACTTGAGGTTTTGCTCAAATGTAGGTGCATTAAAAAAGAAAATCAAAAAATCTGCTGCTGCAAATCTCTTCATTATGTGCTCTGACGCAAATTGAATTGCAGAGACAATGTGATCATGTCATATGCATCATTTGGTTATGAAGGAGATGGACAGATGTGACTTTAGGGTGAGAGTATGATTATAATTTATCTTACTAATAGGTGTAGATCTGAATTTGCATCCTTTCCCCCCACCTTCCAATCCCTCCTTCACTCACACACAGACAGAGCTGTATTGCTATTCTGAGAGAGTTAGCTGCCTCAACCCACGCACAGAATCTGAGAAAGAGAAAGGCAGAATGAGGGAGAAAGAGGGAAAGGAAGGAGCAGGAGGAATGAAATGAGAGCCGCAAGGACTCTACATTGAGGTTTGCAGAATGCAGACTGAATCCTTCATATGCAGGTTCAGATTGTATCACTTTTGAGTGTTCTAACAGAAGCTGGTGTACAGTACACCTCTTATTAGCACTCTCCTCCTTGCGTGTGGCATGGACTTGCATTAGCAGATCTGTTTGGTGGTGTTTGTGTGATGTGCTGTGTTGTATTGGTAAGTGCTGGGAGAAATGTACTTGATTCTGTGCCACCCACACACCGCCCTCCCACTCATGGTCGTCTCTGCATCTATACCTCTGGCTCTTCCCGCTCGCCACATTCTCCTTGCTCGTTTAAATCCCTACCCTGCATTTATCTCTCTGCACTCCATCACCGTTTTTTTTTTTTTTCAGAAGATCCACTTGTTCTGCAAATCAAACAAGCACACTAATGTGCAAACCACACTCTGACACAATTTATGCAAGCAATCACATCCAAACAAGCTAAGCGCAGACAAGGGCTGAGAAAGATGTACAGGATACAGAGGTTATGGCCCTCTGGCCTGATATGCAGTTTAAGTGGAAAATCCACTCATGATTTCTTTTATACCTTCAAATCGCAATAGATTAGTCGGTAGGAATCTTACACTTTTTCTTCAATCATATGAAAACCTCCTTACTTAAAAAAAATAAAATAATAATGGTATCTAATCTGGAAATATATCTTATCCATATCAAAATCTGTCCAACAATGTTATAATAATTATATGTCAGGCCTGTGTGTGGAGATTATACTAAATCACTGAAATATACCAAAAACAAATGCATGCAGCATGTCCAATTTTTTTTTTGTTTTCGATTTTTGAAGCCATCAATACTCTGTTCCTTTGCCTGCTGTAAAAACTCATCTTTTTGCGGTCTGTTTATGAAAATTTAACACAATCCTCAGAGTTCGGAGTTTATTGGTTAGCTACTCCGTTTGAATTGATTCCAGCTACATAAACAACTAAAAAAAATGCATTTATATATAAATGTTTATGGTGATTGGATATCCTACGTCACAGGTGTCAAAGTCGTTCCAGAAAGGGCCGTGTGGCTGCTGGTTTTCTTTCCACCCAAGCAGTAGCACACCAGACTCCATTCATCTCATCAAGGTGAGTCTAGTCTTAACCTGATGACTTGATAGGATGAATGGAGGAGTCTGGTGTGCTACTGCTTGGGTGGAAAGAAAACCAGCAGCCACACGGCCCTTTCTGGAACGACTTTGACACCCCTGTCCTACGTAGTTAGCAGATATTAAACATCTGCACTTTCACAGAAATGTTGCTAAGCTCCAGCTTTCTTAGTAGAATAACATCATTATTACTCTATGTCATTTCTTCTGGTGAATAATGGACTTAACCTGACTCCGCCAGATGTATTTGCTCCGCATATCGATCTGCGAGTGAAACCTTGAAAGCTCGCGAGATCAGGGTGGTCTCACGAGGCTATAATGGCCTCACATGATGAATTCGCTGAGTCTGTTTTATACAGTTTCCTCTTTGCTCGACTTACTTTGGATTGACAAGTAGAAGCTAATGAGGCGGACATTCAACTGGCCAGAAGGCTCAACCAGTAAGCTTTTTTGCTTGGTATCAAAATGTAAGACATTAATAATTTAGATGGGAGTGGTTTTAAGTCTAAACAAGGAGGTAAAATTGGGCATTAACCTGACTTCCTATAAGCCAGATGATCACTAAGAGAATTTAAACAGCCATAATCAACCTATTCAGTTTTAAAGTATCTTTACCATGGCTCAGCTTAAAAATAAGCAACAAACGTCAATCTCTTGTGAAATTTTAGAAATTGATATTTACCAATGTAATATTTCTCTATTAATGTACATGTGTATATTTTGACTTGATTTAAGTTATTAAATTTTGCTAAATTTGGATGGCCGTCCAACTGGCTGTTAGCCTCAGGCCACTCTAGGCTTTATAGAGCCAGCAGCATAAACCAAATAAGGAGTGTGCAACAGATTTTATAGTCTCTTATGAAACTGAAGATGTTTAATAACTTAACTTTGAAAGTTAGGTATTTCAATTGTTAAAGATAGGCTCTGTGTAAGCACCCTGGTGCTCTATCTTTCTGGTTCTTTTCCCTGAAAAGAGATCACTCGGGACAAACTCTTTAAATAACATTTCATAACTTATATGTACACTATATTGCCAAAAGTATTTGCTCACCCATCCAAATTATTGGAATCAGGTGTTCCAATCACTTCCATGGCCACAGGTGTATAAATTCAAGCACCTAGGCATGCAGACTGTTTTTACAAACATTTGTGAAAGAATGGGTCGCTCTCAGGAGCTCAGTGAATTCCAGCGTGGAACTGTGATAGGATGCCACCTGTGCAACAAATCCAGTCGTGAAATTTCCTCGCTCCTAAATATTCCACAGTCAACTGTCAGCTGTATTATAAGAAAATGGAAGTGTTTGGGAACGACAGCAACTCAGCCACGAAGTGGTAGGCCACGTAAACTGACGGAGCGGGGTCAGCGGATGCTGAAGCGCATAGTGCGAAGAGGTCGCCAACTTTCTGCAGAGTCAATCACTACAGACCTCCAAACTTCATGTGGCCTTCAGATTAGCTCAAGAACAGTGCGCAGAGAGCTTCATGGAATGGGTTTCCATGGTCGAGCAGCTGCATCCAAGCCATACATCACCAAGTGCAATGCAAAGCGTCGGATGCGGTGGTGTAAAGCACGCCGCCACTGGACTCTAGAGCAGTGGAGACGCGTTCTCTGGAGTGACGAATCGCGCTTCTCCATCTGGCAATCTGATGGACGGGTCTGGGTTTGGCGGTTGCCAGGAGAACGGTACTTGTCTGACTGCATTGTGCCAAGTGTAAAGTTTGGTGGAGGGGGGATTATGGTGTGGGGTTGTTTTTCAGGAGCTGGGCTTGGCCCCTTACTTCCAGTGAAAGGAACTCTGAATGCTTCAGCATACCAAGACATTTTGGACAATTCCATGCTCCCAACTTTGTGGGAACAGTTTGGAGCTGGCCCCTTCCTCTTCCAACATGACTGTGCACCAGTGCACAAAGCAAGGTCCATAAAGACATGGATGACAGAGTCTGGTGTGGATGAACTTGACTGGCCTGCACAGAGTCCTGACCTCAACCCGATAGAACACCTTTGGGATGAATTAGAGCGGAGACTGAGAGCCAGGCCTTCTCGTCCAACATCAGTGTGCGACCTCACAAATGCGCTTCTGGAAGAATGGTCAAAAATTCCCATAAACACACTCCTAAACCTTGTGGACAGCCTTCCCAGAAGAGTTGAAGCTGTTCTAGCTGCAAAGGGTGGACCGACGTCATATTGAACCCTATGGATTAGGAACGGGATGTCACTTAAGCTCATATGTGAGTCAAGGCAGGTGAGCAAATACTTTTGGCAATATAGTGTATCAAATAACCAGGAGACATGACGTCAGGTTTTGATAGAAATTGTAATCTTACTCAGATCAGAGAAATTGCTTAGAATATACAGAATGTCAGCTGCTCACCCCCAGGCTCACCTCACAGAAGGTGGCCCTAATTAATAGTTAAAAAGGCATTTTATACATCTCCAGTCTGCCACATCATCATATTTTACATCATGCTTCATTTTTATTAAAATAGGACACCGCTTTCATTCCATCTCTAAATCTTTGCCACATACAAAATGAAGATTATAACTGTATCTCCAGACAGAAGAACTGTCCTAATTAGATTAAAAACGCAGTTCTGACGCGCAACAGGCAGCCCATACCAGGGTGTAATAAACTCACACATCTTCAATGATAATTATCCTAACATAATGTTTTCAATTTGTGTGGTCTTATTTACTAAAATCTATAGAAACTGTGGGTCATTCTGATTATTGTTAGCCTAGCACCACATTTATGCTGTTTGTATGCAAACTAGATTTTACCTTTTATTTCGAACTGTCATGTCTTTAAACCTTACTTGTACCTTTGGATCTGTTTGGGGTTGAGATTTTGGTACATTATACATATGTAAAACACAGCACTGGAAAAACCTCTGATAAGCAAAAACTATTGAGGCCACCAAAGCCTTCTGCTCTGGTTGATTTTTTTGTAACTTTTTTTTTTCTTTCATTGTGTTACATGTTGCAGGTCTGATTGCCAGCTTCTTAACCCAAAGAGTGTTCTGGAAATCAAAGCCTCAAAAGAAGAAAACAAGAGAATCCCCTACCTGCCTTCTCAAAGAACTGTATTGGGACAATAGCTACTGGACTAACATCTGCTTTGGTCTCTTTTTATTCCTCGAATAAACCCTCCTAAAAAGGCTAGAGGACCATGTAAGTGAAAGAAGTGGAGCCCTCAGTGATTTCAGCATTCTGTCTCCTCCATCTGTGCCTACATTCTCTGCTACAGATAGGGACGTTTTGATAATTACATATAATTATAATTTCTGTGGGAGACAGATCTGCCTCTGTCTATTATGGCCAACACCTTCAGTACAATAACTTCACACATTTACATATCTGCCAACAAAAGTGATATTCTTTAAACCCCCCGGGGATAAATCAGGAATAATTCTGCTCCGATTGACATGTCACATGCAAAAGCAATTTGCCATTCATCTGATATCTAATAAGGGATACATCTGAGTGACAAGGGGGATTTTTTTCCCCTTTTCCTGCCACAGAAATCTGGCTGAAAATCATGGCATTTAGGTCTTTTTGCTGCGTGTTTTACAGGCCAGGAATCATTCTTCTGCTTCATGGTTGTTCATAATTTTATTTCCACCTTCTAGCACATAAGCAGAGCCTTCCTCATTATCACCCACAGTTTGGTCACAGTAACAGCCTGTGCCAGGCGATTGCTGACCAAACCAATCCCAATGGAATTCTCCAGAATAAATTATAATAGACAACATTGATCCAAACTGCAGGCACCCAGATTAGGGGACTGTTTGAAAAGCAAAAACATCCCTACATTTTTATAGCATTGTCCTAACAGTTGTTTTCCTTGTCTACAAAATAATTGTTGAATAAATAACACGGCAGTTTGCGCTACTTGCTAGAAGATGAAGAATACAGACATATCACTTCCTGTCAACTGTTTATCCAGTGCCAGAGTCAGCCGACGAATGTCCTGGGATGTCATGTTTTTCTAATTAAATTTGTTATTAATTTTCAAAGGACCTTTGTGGCCAGAAACTGGAATTGAATCCAACAGGGTATTTTAAAAAGAAATGAGAATAAACCTATAAAGCTTTGGGGCGTCTTTTATTAAACCTGGTAAAAGCAGTTTTATCATAATTATCATTAAATCTTTCAACCCAAACAGTCTCACACATAAATTGACAGAAACTCATGATGTATCTCTGATGTCCTTGGCTATACATTTAATTCTTTACATGGCCTTTTAGTGAGTTAAACTGGAAAAGGGAATAAAGCTGTGTAACTGCATTGAGTCAACAACAGAAAATAGGTGTCTTAGTCATGTAAAAATGACGCCCACCACCTATCTCCGAATCCTCGCCGTCTCCCTGCTTTCCCTGTTCGCTGCCCCACTTACCAGCGCAGTGGAGACGTCTTCGTACCCCCCTCCTCAGCATGTAGACCGCTCAGGGAGACCATTCACTGAGCAGCCAGACACAGACTCCAGCTCCTCCCTCTTGCTACTTGCCATCCAGGCCAATGCCAGGCCGGCTGCTCTCCGAAGCAGACCCAAAGCACCTGAGGAACCTCAAGACACCTCAGAGGTAGTTCTGGAGCCCCTTCCAAAACCACTGGCCCAAGTGATGTTTCCTAAGAATGCAACCTCCTCAGAGGGCCTAGGAGATCATTTTCAAGCAGCTCACATCCCTCCTCGTATTATGGATGGATGGACAGATGTATGTTGGGGTTACTATGATGTGATGGGACACTTTGACAATGCTTTCAACTGCTCTAAAGACTCCTTCATCTACTGCTGTGGAACATGCCACTACCGCTTCTGCTGTCCAGATCGAACTCGCAGGCTGGAGCAGGACATCTGTAAAAACTACATCTCTCCAGACTGGGCCAAGCCACAGACAGATCCCATGATATTACCGGAGGAGCTGAGTCCAGACCCAGACTATGACCCTCTGAAGCAGCAGAGCCACAACACGGGATTCGTCATTGGTGGCGTTATTGTGTTTATGGTAGCTGTCGCCGTGGGCATCAAGGTGGTTTTCAATAAGGTACAACAGGAGGCCAACCAAAGGGACCTGAATATGCCCAGGTAAGGCTTTCACATCCTAGCATTTCATCACTTCTAACTGTTGGATCTGTTGCTATATCCTATGCATGGTTTCTCATTAAATAAGTGTTTTCAAGACTTGATTCGAGGTGTTAAACAATGCTGTTAGTCACTGCCTTAAACACAGTAAAACTCATTACCTTGAGTAAAAGCACCAGGGCTCTATGGTATTAAGGTATCTTTTTTAGGAACATAACATTTTTTGGCATAAAAAAACAAAACATTATTTGATTTTATTTACAACAGAAAGAAAGAATTATACCCAAAATTTGGTCGTAACTAAATACATTTATTCAGTCACATTTATTTGACGTAAGAAGAAGTTAACTTTTAGGAGTACTTTTACTTTACCATTCTTTTTACTTTTATTTTTATTTTTTACTTTTTCTCAAACAATATTCCTGCGAAAGCATTGCTACTTGTACTTGAGTAAAATTTCCGGTAAGTCTTCTTCAGTCCAAATGTGTTATTTTGTAATAATGTTATTTTTTTGTAATTTATTTTTTTAAATTCATTTGAAATATACAAACTGAATAAGTGTCTATCGCTTTAAATAACATGTTATGAGCCAACACTTCCTCATCTTTGAGGAGCCATATTAACTAATGCTTTTTTACTTTTAAAGGTATATGTTAGGGTTGTTAAGTTTCCCCAACTTTAACCTATAAAGAACTAAACAAAGACAGTGTAAGATTTTTCCTGACCTGGCTTTGCAAAGGGAAAATACACAGAGCTTTGGGATCTCGCACTTTCGTCTTGCTCCACGCTTGCAGGCTTATTTATTGAGCAGTCAGCACATTACAACAGCAGGTGTAAGTTGCGATTACACAACCTCTTAGACCATAGCATGAACTTTTAAGATAGGTAACATGTCTGGTTTCAGTATACTCTGAAACCAGACATGAACTGGGGTCATGAACTTCCCTTTCTGTGCTTCTCAAATGAAAAACAGGAACTTCTGTGCTTCATTCTCGCAAAACATTTGACCGTCTTATGACTTGCATAAACTATTTCCACTGAAGACAGTACCATAGAAAAACAAATGATTTAAAAGCAATATAAAAGATATAAATGAATAAAATTATAAAAACAACAGAAATCATAATAACTCCAACAGTATAGTGGAGGATTTTTGGGAATTTTTGAAAAAATGCACAACCCTGTACCCGCTCCCGAGAGGGAATGTCTATTAAAAACTTGCGAGCTTGCACAAGCCCATTTCCCCCGGTGCACGCTCTGTTTACAAGTTGCTGTTTGCATCGCTCACTTTTCAAAAGAAGATTTGCAATTTTTCCACTATGTCAGATTCACCACCTGTAAGTGAATATGGGAAGGAGCACATAGGACGGCCTTACGTAAACATATCACTGGAATGATTGACAATTAGGAGGATCACTTATTTTGATGATCCACTGGCAAAAGAAAATCCTCCACTTTACATTTAAGTAATTTGTTTCATGCTTATGTTCTATTTGCTAGTTTTGCATGAGTAAAAAAAAAAACTTCTGCCACTAAGATGTTATAAAATGTTTATTACTATTAGAATGTTGTGTATTACATTGATTTACATTTTTATATATTTTGTATATGAATGCAAAATCTATAGAAATGTAGCAATTAATTAGTTTATTTTTATTTCTGTTTATTTTACATTTATAGTAAACCCCAAAAAGTTCCTGCACACTATGATTTATTAACATAGCGTTTCGGTTGGTATTACCCTCATCAGACAATATTGGACAGTTCTGCTATGTCTGTCCGATACAGGTCATACTAACTGAAAAGATGCATAAATACTTTACAGAGAGTGATACAGTAAGCAGGAATGTTTTTGGAAATCTGTGGCGTTCCCCACCCCTTGGGCTACATCCTCTTCCTACGCACCTGTGCTTTTAGGGGTGCTAAGATTTTGCATTCAGATTTATAGTATAGGAAAAAATCTATATATTTTTAGATTATTGCATTTGATTCATACAATAAGATATATATGGAGTAATAATAATCATTATTTAAATTTTTTTCATAATTCATGGAAAAGGGAAAATATTTCTATTTTTTATATGATAGAGTAACTATACAGCAGGTTTTTTTAAATTGTCATTGAAAACATTTAAATTTTTTAATTTTTATTTTAATCTATGCTATAAAAATGCTTAACCTCATTTAATTTGGTGCCAGTTCAATTTCATAAGATCTTTTTCTTTTTTTAGGTTAATTGTTGAGTAACACTAGAGTTTAATTAGCTGATGTTAAGCTGGTTAATTAGTTGAGCTATTTGCTATGGTAGCCAGACAAGCATGCATTTTGTTATCAACTCCAGTTTAAAGCTTTATACCTTATAGTGCTGAATTAGTATGAAGTACAGCAGTTCATTTATGGCCAACTCCAACTCCCTCGTATTCCTCCAGAGCTCTGGTTGACATGCTGCGGCACCAGTCGAGCCCAGTCCAGCAAGATGAAAGAAATAACAGCGTGGCTCTGACTGTACCCGACGGACAGGGGACACTGGGAAGACCCCCGAAAAACCTCTACGGCCCGGGAGTGCCCAGCAAGGACAACAGATGTAAGAGTTTTTTTTTTTTTTTTTTCAGAAGAGAGAGCTTGTTCTCTATGTAAAGGGTACTGGTTTGTTGGTTTTCTCTCTTTTGTGCCCCACCACTAAGAAATCTTTATGATTAGAGGGGACACAAAAATCCCAGGTGGTGTTATGTTTAGAAATGATTGCTCAAGCAACTTTTTCTGTCTTACACAGTTAAATGAACATGCATCAGGAGGATTTTATGTAAATATCTTGGTGGATACGTGTGCCGACTTTTTTTGTTAAACCACCAATCATCTTCCAACTGCTTGACATCCATTTTGTGAGCTGATTACCTTATTTTTCTCTGACTTACAGTGGGCAATCTGCAGCACAATTTCATCCACTCATCAGGCTCCAGCCCCAAACACACAGCAACTATCGGTAAGGCAGCTGCTCAAATCAGGGCATGTAAATCACACGCAATCACCCCAGATTCTTCATTTGCTCCATTCACCTAGGATTTAAGCTCAGATGTAAGGCCCATTCATTTAGACAATAACAATGATTATCACAGCTCCAGTTGCTCGTGTCGGTGCTGAAAGCAAGTTGAAAACCAGTTTTCTTTTTCCCAAGTGAATGTTAGCAGATTCTCACCGTGCAAGCATGCAGCGCACTTACATACAGAGGAGCCAATCTCATTAAACACACAGACGTTTTCTCCCTGTGGTTTTTGCAGAACGCACCCCTCGGATGAACAATGCTCAGCTGGCAGCTGGAGGCACCCTGCTTTCCAGTAAACACAACAACACCAAATCCCAGCCTTCCTTCCACCACTCCCTACACAACCTGGCTCAACTGCCACCTTCCTACGAGAGTGCCACAAAGCCCGAGCTCAACAGATACTCCTCTCTCAAACGCCTAGGTCAGTATTGTGATCTTCCTCAAATTAAACACCTTCTCACTCCCCTTACAGTGTTGTTTCTGTAGATGCTTCATAACCATTTCAGCAGGGAGATACTGTCGAGACAGAATCCATTACTATGGGGCTTTATTTTAGCAGTTGAGATTTAGTGCCAGGCAAAAAAAATATTTGCACCCCTTGATCTCTTTCATACGTGGCCCCGTTACAACTGGTGCATATTTTTAATGATCTTTAAGGGGATTTGCAATACAGTAAAACATATCGTATATAACTGTGAAGTATAAGGAAAATGCTTTGAATGAAAATTACAAAAATGTAGAGTTGATTTCATTGTTTGTAGTAGTATCAACTTCACAAATATAGTTGTAACTCCTATGTGGAATGTCTTTACCAGCTTTGCACGTCTAAAGATTGAAATATTTGCCCTTGTATTCAGAATAGCTGAAGCTCAGTCGCACAGTATGGAGAGACAAAAAATGACAGAAATTTTCAATTGGATTGAGGTCATGAATTCTACTAGGTCATCTTAGCAACATATTATGCCTCAATCTAAACTATTCCAATACACCTCTGGTTGTATTTTTTCAGGTCAATGTCCAATCTCAGGTACTTGTAGGTTTTCCTCCTGTTTGTATCTTTCCTGTTCCAATAGCATCCCGGATGGATGATGCAGTCAATACTTTATTTCAGAGGAGAGATGTTTTGGCCTGAGATAGTTTGCAGACTTCATTTTCTATTATACACCATTTTTGAATGTAGTCCTTCCGTTTTGGTCTAATCTGATAGTAGAAGATATTTCCACATTTCCGTCTTGTCACAGACTGCAAAGAGGACTTCTCGTGGCCTTGTTTTAACAATGGCTTTCTTCTTTCAACCGTATCAGCAGCCAGATTTATGGAGCACACAGCTGATTCCTGTCCTGTCCTAACAGTTTTGCATAGACTATGATCTGTCCAGAACAGACTTTGTTCTTGCTACTTCAGTTAATCAATCTGCTTACTCCTCACCCACGTTGCCTACTGATGGTGGTCAGAGGGCCCATTGGCACCTGTGTATGGCAGCCTAGCTTTTGCCAGTGAGCCCCAGGGTAGCTGTGACCATAGTGTAGCAAGCCACCATCAATGTGTGCAGGAATGGGGGATTGTAGTGTAATCTCTACACTCTTCGTTTTAGGTGGAAAGGAGTCATTTGACATGTTAGAAGTGGTGCTTTGCAAAGCTTGGGATATTTTTTAATGAATTAAACCCTGCCTTAAAGATATGAACAATCTTTCTGGTGTGGTCCCTGATTTTCAGCTGTATATGTGATATGGGCTTTACTGAATTTGCAGTTGCTCAAAGAGAAACTGGAAAATTGGCACAAGTGAAGAAACAGGAAAAAAAACATAACGCCAATAAACTACAATTTTACTGATCCATTAGTTCTGCAAAACAGTTTTCTATAACTTTTATAAATGCACTGAGAAGGGGAGTAGGCGTCCCCTTGTGTTGAGTAGGCATCCCCTGCTTGTTGCTAATAATATACCCATTAGCTAATACGCTTCATACAGGACAGCACTGCATTTTATCACTATCAAGGATTGAATTCCCTTCTTTTAATTGTTTGGTGGGGTACTGTAGCAAGAAAAGGGGTTGAAATGGTCTTTATGAAAGTGTTTGCTCAATGATGGTCTTTAAAAAGCCTTTGAGTGCTTTACAGAAATGTTTTCATTGCAAAGTTTGACTCTTTAATAATCACTGTTTATAGTGATGAACTGGATTTTATTTAGGAGTTTGATTTAGAAAACATAAATACTCTGAACACTGTAGTTATAACATGACAAAAAGAAAAAAATCTCAGAAGGTTTGAATAATTTGCAAAGCAATGTAAATAATTACATAACCTATTTTTTGGCTTTCAGAGAAAGGACTTGATGAGTACTCATCTGGTTACTGCACGACCAAACGCAGACCCCATACAGCTCAGCCAGCCCTCCAGTCCTCTCAACACCACCTTCACTGGGGTGGAGACTACACTCTGAGCGGTAGAGGAACCCTTCCTAGGCACGCAGTTCGTCCCTGGATCCCACCACCCCCCTCTGGCATGCCTGCCTCTCCCACTCCCAATCCTTACCCTCTGGATCCTCCTGAGCCCCAGTACAATCCCAACTACGACACTTTGTCCAAGCCTCCAAGGAAAGTAAAGTCTACCGACCAGCTGCTGAACATGGGCGATGTACCAGGCAACACTGGGACCCTGTCTCGACTGGCTAAGAACCAGCAACACCAGTACCACAAAGCCATGGCTGCCTCCAACAAGAATTCCAACATGCAAACCCTGACCAGGAAGACACAGGACAGACAGGAAAGACAAGAGAGACAGGAGCGACAGGATAGGATGCTCATGTCCCCTGACCACTTGGAGGACAGAATGGGAGTCGGCGGGATGGGAGTCGTCGATCCCTACGCTCATACAGGAACTGGCATTGTCCCCACACTGCCGCGCCAGCAGAAGGCCCAGTCCCAGCAGAACGTGTGCGCTACGCCTTCCCTTGACCGGCACCACATGATCAAGATGAACTCCCACCCCACGTCTGGGAGGGAGCAGGAGAGGAGCACGGGCATGACGAGTCACGTGAGCAGCGGCGTGGGCTGGTCAGGAGAGATGCCCGGAGCCGGAGCTGGGGTAGTCATGGGAACAGGAACGCTGGGGGGCCACAGCGCCAGGAGGATGGCTTTTGCAGCAAAAAGGCAGAACACCATTGAGCAGCTACACTTCATACCAGGAGGGGGTGGTGGGGGGTCTGCAGGAAGCTCAGGAGGCAGCCAGGGAATCAGGACGGGGAGTAAGAATGAAGTGACAGTGTAAGGTCTGTACCTAGAGTAAGGAAAAAAGCCCTTAGACAAAAGGGAATAGATCACCCTTCTGCATTTAACTATTAGATACAAGTACAACAAATAAAACTAGAAGTATACAGTAGTAACAGTAACATGTGTTTAGGCTATTCAAATTAGTTTTATCTTGTAATCAAATTAGATTAAATATGACTACTTATAAAGCTAAAAGTGTAGGTGGAGACACCTTTGTGATAGCCTACATCAGCCATATTTTGTAACCGATTTTTGCCATATCGACATATACAGCTGTGCCATTACACGTAGAAGGACTGACTGGACTGGTGAAACAGAACCAATAGAGGAGTTGTTCATGATTTAATTTTTATATATATATATATATATATATATATATATATATATATAGAAATATATATATATATATCTATGTATGTTTTTAAAGAAGTACTCAGGAGCCATATTAGATAAAGAGAATGAGACAAATTATGGTTTATCGAAGCAGAGGACTTCTGAAGACAGATCCAACTACCTTGACTGATGTCGACAACTTATACTGAGGAACCAGATCAGTCTCAAAGACCATTGTGCCTGCATGGTAAAAGATTTTGGATGTTTTACATTCTGCTGAACAAGACCTCATCCAGACCCAGGGAGACTGGACTGTGCTTCTTGCTTCCTGATTATTGATGGAGAGGCTGTTTTCCAGCATTATGTTTAAACTGAGGAAGGACCCTAAATTACCAATCCAACACCCGGGTTGCCTAATTTTTCCACGTGACCTTAGATTTCAAATCATACAGGGAAGCTGATCTACAAGGTCATATAAACTCATTTTCAGGGTCTGAGGGTTCCCCTGGTGTTTCCAATTACAGACCAGGCCCTACCAAAAAATATCCAGAGCCATCTGTTTTAAAATTACCCCAAAAATAAGAGATAACACTACAGCATGTGTTCAATTTACCTTCAGAGAGGCAGATCGCTGTGTGATACATTTGCATACAAAAAGCACAGAGGTTGCACTTACAACTGTCCTTCAAAGCCATCTTTTTGGAAACGTTCACCCTGGAAGCGGGATTGACAATCACTATTTAGATATTACCATGAATGATACCCGCCAGTGATGTTTTGGACAGTCAAAGGATTGGTTTTGGAGCAAGGCGGTGAGAAAACAACCTTGGGTGGTTAGGAAGCCCTTCACATCTTCAAGACAAAGAACTTGTTGTATCATAATGTACTTCAGCCAGTATAAGTTAGAAAAAAACAAACAAAAAACATCATAAAAAGGTAGAAAAAAAATCATCAATAACAACGCTTATCAATACTAAGGGCTATCCTATCCTATATACTGTAGTATGTGATATCTGTGGTCCATATAAAAATGCTCTCTCTTTCTATCGATTTTGTGTTGATATTGTCATGACGTATCAAGTATTCATGTGTAGGAAAGAAACAACAACAAAGAAAAAAAAAAACACAAAACAAGAGCAATTTAAGCACAGTTCCAAGAAAAACACAGAGACAAAACTTTGCACAAACCAGTCCCCTGATATTTGCACCAGACACGAGCACACTCTGTGTCGTGTCCTCAAGGTTTACATTCAGCACGAGCTCGGCCGTGAGCGCGACTGATCTACGGGAGAGGATAATGCACCGAGAGAGGATTTATTTTTTGCTCCTTATTTTTTATTTAATTTTACTTTTTTTCTATCAAGAGAAATCAGAGGTATTAATGTGGGTGAAGGAAGGAACGTTTCGGGTAGAGGATGCAAAATGCTGAAAACAGAAACACACGACTCCATTGGGACAATCTTCCTATACACAGTGCTTGATGTAGTTGTTATAAATTTGATGGAGTGTTATTATTAATAATTATTATAACTGTTATGGTTATTATTAACAATTATCTTATGATATGTGATGTTCTTTTACTTGGTGAGACTTTTAAGTGTTTATTGTTTTTTAATGACTTTACTTTTTCATGACTAGTTGATTTAGTTACTTATTTTTTTCCTCGTCATTAAGATTTAGAGATGACTCTAAACTTTGTTGCATGCCAGCTCCATTTAACTGAGAGGCATTGACAGAGCATGCCTGGCATTTCTCAAGGGTCGTCAATGCTTCGAATGGCCAACCCTCCAGCTGTATGTACCGTGCCTAGACATCAGCCTTATGACTTCTTTGTCTCAAGTGATTACTAAGGGTTTCCATTTGGGTACAAAAACATATATTCAGAAGTTCTGGAGCCTTTCTAGCTAGATGAAAGAGTTTGGAAGCAGTTTTCTTCTGCAGCAGCCTGACTGGCTAACTTAATGCGGGCTGTACGCACAAAACCCTACGATGCCATAATATATGTATGGTCAGATGAATGTTTATTACAGAGGTTGAAAGCTAGAGGTCCAAACAGAAACCCGAAAGCTTTGAGGTTCAGTTTCTTTTTTTTCAGGGAAATAGGACAGACGATGTACAATTTGTATTTGATCTTTAGAAAAAAAATGGAGCCACAAAAAGGTCTGTAGCAAAGTCTGTAATAACTCACAAGCCATATCCATTAAGAACTCATCATCACGATTTTATAAATGGTTAATCTAATTTGTGCAAGTATTGTATTTTGTATAGCTAGTACAATCAGAATTTTTGAGTGATCGCTTTAACATTAATTTGAGGATACAAAAAAAAAACCCCTCCGTGTTAGTATATAATGAACTGTACAGTGCCAAACTCATAACATTTTGTTGTCTTTTTATTCTCATAGCATCCTTGTTCGTTAAAGGGGTTATTTCTTTTCATCACAAAGAAGAGCAAAATGTGCAGGCAGGTATACTGACAAGCTTGTTTTGTTTGAGGGGAAATGAATGAATATGGTGTACATTTTTACCATGATAAATTCATTTAGAGGGGAAGATGCATAAAGGCTACTGTAGATGGACATGGAGAGTGTCTAGTAGAGAAGATTAATGGATTTATTTTCATGCTGATAGATTTAAATACAAAACCCTTTTTCTTATTGTTGAATGCATTGATTCCCTTGGATACGACAGTGACAAAGAATTTGTAAAATAAAGTTGGTGGGAAAAAGGCTTTGTCCGTTTTTTTAATGTAGCATGCCGGATATTTTCTAATAGAAAACTGTTGGACTTTTTCACATGGTCTATGGTAACGTTAGGAATTCATTCATTTGTTTCTTAATCATTTCTTTAGTGGATGCACACACAGAGCTGTGCCTCTTGGATGAAAGGCAACCTGGGCAAGCCCCCTTATGGTCATTTATACTTTAGATTGGAACGATGGATGGATGGGTGGATGGTTTGTTTGTTTGTTCATTCGTTCGTTCGTTCGTTCGACAAGTCCATACATTTTCTGTTTGGAATTGGAGAGGATCCTTTGTGGTCCTGAAAACCAATACAGAGTACTGGGCTGTGAATGGTCTTTAACATTACAGGTATTATTGTCAGTAATTCAAATAACTGAGAAGTTAATTCCTGACTCCATTTGAGGACCTCATAGCCCTTTAACCAAAGAACCTTCTCCAGTGCCTGGCATCTTTATCAAGTTGTCTAACCTTTTACGAAATTATAAATTTAATATGATGTTGGTCTGATTTGCTTAATTATCCTTAAAACAATATTGACTAACTAGTTACTGATCATCAACGTTTTTTATTAGAACTGGTACAGATTTTAAATGGACGCCATACAAATAATTCAGCTTATTTGAAAGCAATAAATGTAAAGGTCCAAGGTTGAAAACAGTTCCTTAACAGGTAAAATATTGTTTTTTTACTCTCAAGACAGTTTTGTCTCTGAACCTAACCCCTTATCCTGTTTCATTTGTGAATCTTTCACTTTTTTAATACTTTACATTTTTCATCTAAATGTAAAAATGGAACAAATTTGTATAGCTCAGCACACTGTCAAAATGCTTTAAATGCTAATTTCTCGTTTCCTATTTTGAAGATTTTAAATTTCTCTCTTTGACATTTTGTTACCCTATATAATGCAGTTTGAAGTTTCTCAACAATTAAACTGTTTTCAAGCTGAAATACTATTTCAGGTATTATAAATAAAGCCCAACTTAATTGATATGTATTTATTTAAATTATTAGGGGTACCTTTTATTTACTTATCCAGGATATAGTCGACCTTTTGTCCTGTGGCCACCACAGAGAGGCACCCCTGCAAGCATAAACAGGTGCATAAATGTTTTGGTTGCTGCTGATTTTTGTGATAATCTGTTATTTTTACATTTTTTTCACAACTAAAAAAAAGGCATCCAAAAGTTGTATTTCAATCTAAGATTCTGAGGAGGTAATGAAAGAAGAAAAGTATTTAAAATAAAGCTTTATATGACTCTTACCCAGTGATCCCAATAAATAGAACTTAAATAAAAGCAGAGATTTTTATTTAAGTAAAATCAGTTTTTACGGAAAATATGGCTTCATTAAATTTCGTGAAAAGCTAGATGGGCAATAAGAAATATTAAAAACGTTGAGTCAAAGTATTGTTCATAATACTCATAATCCAAGTTCTCCTGGATTGTATCATTTTATATTTAGGTGATTTTTATGAAACTGGTTCTGTAATAATGGCCGTTGGTAAGTAAATTAGTGCTATGTAAAGGGTCTAAGCAGAAGCTTAGCAGAAACGCTTTTAGGCCTTCATTGCAAACATGCTAAAACTACGTCACTGAAGTGTGAGATGTTGTATAAGGCATATTAAAAGCCACGGAGTGCTCCTTGGAGGGGAAAGCTGTATTTTTAAATAAAATCCACTCTATATCATCCAAACACAGGGTTATGTCACATTGCAACTGCTGGATCCTCACATCAAGTCGGAGGCTGTGCAGCTCATATCTTTAACCTCCTGTGAATACATTTATTGCTCTAAGGTGAGTGAGGGCTCAAATGAAAGAGCAGACGACAGCCAACATGACTTTGGAGCTGGAACAACACAAAAGAAAACACACAAAAGACAGGAAACATTATATGGATATATGTTTCATTGAGCTCTTATGCTTTTAAGTGCTTGCAGTAAGCCCATTTCACCACTAGGTGGTTTTTATTTAGCCTGCTTTGATCCCTCAGGTTCATAAATTAAAACCTTATTTGTTAAAGAAAATGTCTGGTCATATTCAGAATTAAAACATCTGAAAGTATTATAATTATAAAAGTATTACATAATGTTCAATAAATGATAAGTGTTTTAATTAAGAGTAATTTCATTTGAACATGCTTTACCAGACATCCATGTTTGTCAAAGAGCACTACTGCCAACTACTGGTTTGTGACGTCACGGTGCGGTATCGGCTGTTGAGCAAGTCCCACTGCTGTATCTTGTGTTTGTCACAACGCATTATTATCCGAGTCATCCTGAAAACAATTTTCTTTGAAATGGTGGCTACATGTTACGTGTTTTTTCTGTGGCCAGAAGTTCGATGGCAAATCCTCCCTCTTCAAGTTGGCAATCCAACGACGAACCCGTGGTGGATCATGAATTGGAATGGTGAAATAACCATAATTATAATAATTTTTTTTTCACTTTTACCTGATGTATTACAACATCCATCTGCCTTGCACGTGGGCATTGTCAGTTTAACTATAGTTCTCGCAAATTTAAATGGTGAAGTCCTCTTGAAATCTTAAATAATTGTTGTTTATTGCAGATGTATCTAGTAGTTCTCATTTGTTTTGCTTGTAAAGCGGCGAGAATAGCCTTCAGCTTACCGCACCATGACGCCACTGCTAGAAGATGTCAGGAGAAAGATGTTACTATATTTGGGCCGGTCCCGGACTCAGTGATTGCAACAAAAAATATTGTTTTATTTTTTTTACTTATTAACGCTAAATTCATTAAATCACCGCAAACGTATCAGTTTTAGGTATAGATAAATATCCATTGATCATTCGTTGTTGACCTGGACTGCTCTTTTAAATGGGCTGACAAGAGCTTGAGTTCAGTATTTATTAATGAAGAATTATGAACATAGGTTATTCATAACTAGTCAAAGGCTTTCCCACATATTTACCATATTTTTTCAATCTGAAGTTCTTTAGCATCTTAACAATTTGTCTGGGTTTAGCCTTTCTGGAGACAGAAAGAGACAGAAAGGGATACACAAACATTTGTGACTCTATCACACAATGTGTCCTACGGATTGGCTCACTAAACCATGTGTAACTTTTAAAAATATTTCGGACTATTAAAGATCGTCTTGTCCACAGTGCCATTCTGGTAAGCCCACAGATCTTTGTCAGATTTATGTCAATATTCCATAGCTCTACAATTGTAAAAGTGTATAAAATCTTGGGTAAAAATAAACTGGTATTTTGAGCTGTTCAAATTTGTATCCATCTTTATCCATATTTTTTTTTTAGTTTATATAGCCCATTGGTTAATAATACAGTTGCTACCTCTCTGTCTCTCTCTCTCTTGGGCAATATCACTTCATCAAGCCATTTCTAACATTCCAGTAGCAAATGAGTAATAAAAGTATTCATGATTCATGGTGATATTGTACTGGATACATATCGGTAGCAGCCAATACTTAATACTGCAATATCATTATCGTATCAAAAGCCAATGTATCGGGAACCCCCAATGTCATTTGACATTCCTAACTGACATTCCTAACTTATATGTTTATATCTTTGGAGACTTTGAAATGATAGCCCTGCTTTAAAATTTTATTTAAGCTTTAAACGTGTGAGGCTGTCACAGAACAGCCATGTTTATTTTGAGTTTAGTAACACACATTGTGGCATTCTGGGTACTAAGTAGGGCACTGGTGAAGGCAATTTGTTTAACTACATTTTATGTAACATTATAAGGAAAAATTAGGGTGGTAAAAATATAATTACAAATTTAGCTACATATCAGAATAAAAACACTAATCAAACCATGCTTTTTAAATGTTCTCTTTCTACAAACAACTAAACATGTCAAAAAAAAATCATTGTATAACCTGATAAAATAAATTTAAACTGTATCATGATGCATTTAAAAAGGCACACAAGTGTAGTTTATAGAGTCTTATTACATACATATTACAAACTTAAGTGAAGTTACATGCGTTTAATCTGTACAAGTGTAGTCCTGTTTCTCTGGCTGTGACTGGCGGGATGTGCTCTCTTAGCCCTCTGACATAGGAGTTGGCCCGGACCTCGTCCACCTGGCTGTGTTTTTCCTGGACGGGTCGCCTTTTACAGGTGCTTTTTTTTTTATCTCTGCTTCCATCTCCTTGAACCCCAGTCAGCCTTGGCAGATGGCCGCTCACACTGAGCCTGGTTCTGCTGGTTTCCTCCCGTTACAAGGGAGTTTTTCCTCTCCACTGTCGCTACGATCATTTTTAGAGTGAGGGATTGCATTTGAGTCAATGATGCAATCAAATGTGAATGTGTTGTCAATTGGCGCTATATAAATAAACTGAAGTTATTCCCACGTTTAAACTATTTAAAAGTTTGACATACATTATTATTTTTTATTTATTTCTATAGGCCTACAGTTCTAAGGATGATTAAAATTATATATTCAGGCTGACTTTAATAATGTCTACGTTTGTTGGGTATAAAGGGTTGAGTCTAGATAATTATTTCTATAAGTGAAACCCAGCAGCATGAAGCCAAGCGGTGAATCCGCTCTGAGCCCTGAAACACCGTCCGTGAGCCCCTCTGTTGCCGCTACCCGGAAACATTACAGGGGCCGGAAAGGACCAACGTTAGGGGAGCACACGTCACTCACTTTTACCAAAAAAAATATATATATTACTACCGACCGGCCAAAAATTCTCCTCGGCCCTCAAAATAACAAGCTAATGAGCTCCCCACCAGCACAGCGCGGCCGGTAACCAAATGGCGATGAAGCTGATAATATTCTAGCATTCACCCAGCTCAGCATCAGTGAAAATGGCTCTGGCTAACGACTGGAAAACAGCACGCAGAAATGGAAGCGAACCGTAGCTAGCCAGCAGGCAGATAGAGGGAGAAGAAGAAGAAGGCGTGCCAGGCCTCGTCCATCTGCAAGCTCTGCTCTGTTACTGGATGCGTAGGTAAACATTTGCCGAATATAGTGTTACGCAGATGTATGTGCTACAGCTAGCATCGTCGTGTTAACCGTTTATAATTGTGCTTTGGGAGGATGGCTAACGTTAGCAACAATGTGGCTTTTGTAAAAATGCGAGTGGCTGGACATTTCCAGACACACTGAGCCAAAGTCTAATACGATGCTATAGACAAGTTTAGATTTTCTTTCCCTGTTAAATGTTTTCCAACACTGGAACAGGAGCTAAGTGGGTCCGTTATTACACGTGCATCTAAGTAATGTTTACACGGTGAAGTGAATGGGAAGCTGATGTTAATTGTAGCATTTTTGACCCCCCCTTTTTTTTGCAGGTTTGCCGATTTGCATTAACATGAAAGGCAGACATATGCGATAGATAATCTACCAAGGGAGTTCAGACTTCAAAAGATTCATCAGTTAAATTAGAGGAAACGGTAAGATTTATAGAGGTGAGCATAACAACATTAAAAGTGAGTAAATGCTACAGAAGACTGTGAACTTTTGATGTTGTTAGTAACAGTAATTTCTTTTCTGTAATTGTTATTTTGGTTATTTTCACTTGTGTGCGTTTATATAGAGGTGTTGTAGTTTACTTGATTTCCCCTCTTATTAAACAATAGATAATTGTATTTAAAATATAAAAAAACAATTGAAACTATTGTGGATGTTCAAAAATCAAAATAGAGATTCTAAGGTAATTATATTAAAAGCTGTGAGAGGTTATGACCCATAATCACACAGCCATATCATCTCATTTATGAATTCAGAATATATTCTCATTCTTCATAACTAGGGCTGGGTATTTTCGCCAAAGTCCTAAATCGATTCGATTTTGATTCATACAGTTCTAAATCGATTAATTTCGATTCAATCTGTTTTTACAACAATGAAAGTGGTTCAACTGTGTTTCAAAACTCTCATGTATTTTGTTTTTTCCTGTCACATTAAACAAAGTGCAAACTTGTAAACCGGAGAGTTTAAACTTGAGATGTGAGAAAAACTGTCTCAAAAGTGCAAACTTGTTTGTGAAAAGTGAAAAAGCCTCACTCGAGCAAGCAGACGTGACACAGCGGGGACACAGCAGACATGCATGAGCTGCATTATCTCCACTGCACAAACCATATTTGCAGCATTGTCTTTAACAACAGGGTATTTGCTGGTCAGCCTCCATTTGTTAATGTCTTCAATCAACCTATTAGCTATATTTGCAGCTGTCTGGCTTGAAGTATTTTCAATGCATCTATCCTGCTCATTTGAATGTAAATGTCACGCATGTCACTATAAAACTAATCTATCTCATTCCCTAGATGTCGATTTTGCAAAAATGTAAAGGAATCGATTCAAAATCGATTAAATCGATTTTTTTACCCAGCCCTAATTATAACAGTAGCATAGAATATTCTTTAAAACTCAGTGACATCCAGCAAACATTTTTACTTGCAGGTGCATAGTCATTATATGCTTATACCACAACCAGCCAAAGCAGTTCATTTTCAGATAAATTATTATACGTTAGTGCAAATGTTAACTTTTTTCTTTTTGAACCTGGAAAGAATTTTTGCACCTTGCACAATCAGAAGACGAACATTTTTATATCCCCTTTCCATCTTGCGGCGATCTCGCGACCATCAACTTACCAGCTTGGACAGCTTTAAGGCCAATTTATGCCTCTGACGCATAGCCTCTGCAACCATCAAATCTGTCTCTGTGCGTGACCACGCCCCCCGTGCAGAGGTTCTGCAACCGTCGTCGCGAAACCTCCAAAAAATCCTGACTACAACGTTGGATGGTCGCAAACCCGTGCAGACCTCAAGCAGAAGTGTGCAGACGAAAAGCAGCTGTGATTGGTCCTTGGTATGCCTTTCCGGGGGTCTGTGTGGTTGTCCTTCTCGATTCAGTGCCGGGTCGCGCCATTTTTATAAACCGAGGAGTAATAACAACAATGGATACCCACGACAGAAGGTTAATCGAGGAGGTTCTGAAGTACAACCACTTGTACGATGCCTCAGACATGTTGTTTTGGAAAATAAACACTCCTGCAGGTGCCGCTGAAGAGTTCTCGAATAGACTCCCCCTAGCGCTTTGGCGGGAAACTGCTGTGCGTCCCTAGAAATTCCAGACCGAAGTTGCAGAAGCATACCATCAAAACTGGTTCGCTACCAGACGCAAGCGACATTTGATGCGTGCGGTTGCAGAAGTATAATCCGCCCTTTAGTTGCTGCTTCAGTGAACGTCAGCATTTATATTTTATTCCGAATGCTAGTCGTCCCTTATCTTGCTTGGCAAACAATTTTTTCTTATTTTTTTTCCCTGCACGATATCGCATCTCCAGTTACCTGATCTTGTAATGCTTGTGATTGCAAAAAAATATTGAACAAAAACAAAATGTAAAACCAAAAAAAAAATTTATTAACTCAACCTGGCCATCATAATGTAATTAAATTCAGGTTTGATTTAAATGTTCACTAAATTCAAACATATAAGAAAAGGACAAAAATTAATTCATAATTATGGCAGGGTGGACGACAAGAAGTTTAATTTTCAGTGAGTTAGCAACCCTAGCAGTTATTTGTTATTGGGGTTACAATCTCTCATATTCATTAAGTGAAGCCTGGTGCACGTTGTCTTCAAGTGTTTTAAGTGTTTTTGATTACCTTTCTGTATCATTCATCAAAATAGGTAATCCACCAAGAAATTTGCTGTAGAATAAATATAGTCACTTAAAATTCTCCAATAGGTCACTTTTTTTATTCAGCTTTTATGGTCGTTGTAATTATGTCCAAACCTTTGCCAGAAATTAACCGACATTTACAGTAACTTCAAACTTTAAGAGCAATGTTCATAATTCACTCAATTCTCAAAAGTAATTGTTGGTGAGAACTTTTCCACTCATGACCAGAATTTGTTCTCTAAGACGATGTAAAATACAGAATCTGCCAAAAGTAAGTAAAGCTTATCTTGGAGCCACACACTGCCCCATCCCTATTCAGGCTCTTTTCTATGTTTTCTAATGTATTTTTCTTACCTTGTACTATGTTATGCATTTGTTATTAAAGGAAAGTTTAGCATAAGATAACGTGTAATTCAGAACACAAAATGTTCAGCGTATGAAGATCAGATAATATAGTTATGAATTAAAATAGGTCACTATCTTCAGCGCTTTGTTAAATATGCAAAATCTGCCTCTTTTCACACAGATGACTACAAGGTGCACAGTATTCATTCACAGTAAAGAAAAAAATATGCTTTGGTGTTTATTTTCAGTAGTCTAATTCTGAAAACAATTGGCATATATACAGCAACTTTTCCTGTGCAACACTCCAGCAAAATCATTCTTAAGGTAAGTTATTGGAAACAAAAAATGTTGAATATTATTCTTTATTGCAGTTATTTCAAAATATAGGAATATGCTTTCAGATATGGCACTAATTCTTTACTGCATTCTCTTTAATGCAAGGAACTACTAAAGGGTTTGAAGATCATCTGTCATACATTTACATTTGCAAGAGGCATATTTGTTTTAAGTACTTTAAAATAAGTGCCAATAAGTTTGACAAACATTGGTTCTTATCTATTATAAGAAGTGAGTTTAAAACTGTTTCATGCATTTTGTTGAATTTTAATATTTTTTATTTTTCTTGATACAGTCACATCCACTGAGTTATTTTCTTTTAGGGTTATTCTAGTAAACCAGGCCTTTCGAGTCAAATATACAGTGAGGAAAATAAGTATTTGAACGCAATGCTATTTGGCAAGTTCTCCCAATTAGAAATCATGAAGGGGTCTGAAATATTCATCTTAGGTGCATGTCCACTGTGAGAGACATAATCTAAAAAATAAAAATCTAGAAATTAAAATGAATGAATTTCTTTTTATGATACAGCTGCAATTACATTTTGAACACCTGAGAAAACCAATGGTAATATTTGGTACAGCAGCCTTGTCTGAATTTACGGAGGTCAAATGTTTCCTGATGTTTTTCAGCAGGTTTACACACACTGCAAGAGGGATTTTGGCTCACTCCTCCACACAGATCTACTCTAGATCAATCAGGTTCTGGGCTGTCGCTGAGAAACATGGAGTTTGAGCTGCCTCCAAAGATTCTCTATTGGGTTTAGGTCTGGAGATTGGCTAGGCCTAGCCAGAACCTAGATATGCGTCTTCCAGAGCCAGTCTGTGGTTATCCTGGCTGTGTGCTTTGGGTCATTGTCATGTCGACCCATCTTCAATGCTCTAACTGAGGAAAGGAGGTTGTTCCCCAAAATGTTGCAATACATGGCACCGGTCATCCCCTCCTTAATACAGGGCAGTTGCCCTGTCCCATGTGCAGAAAAACACCCCCAAAGCATGATGCTACCACCCCCATGCTTCACAGTAGGAATCGTGTTCTTAGGATGCTACTTATCATACTTCTTTCTCCAAACACAGTTAGTGGAATAGGGGGTTTTCAGGTGACGTCACACTCACGTGACTACTCAGCGCGTCCGCCATATTGGGTGGCAGCCTTAGGCAGTATTGACAGTGAAAAATGGTGAAAACGTGTTTAATTGTTGGTTGCACGGCCCGTGGAGGTGGAGTTCAACGCTCTTTCTATCGCATACCAGCCGTAATCGTGAATCAATGTGAAAAAACAAAACAGCTATCTGAACAACGCTGTCACCTATGGCTGACACGGATATCCAGGTCCGATTTGGACGGTGTGAAGCTGGAATACGCCAGAGTCTGCAGTGCTCACTTTGTCACAGGTAATTAACTGTCAAGCATTTAAAACATGTAAGAATATATTAATAATAGGGCTTGGGCGTCATGACGTATTACTTTCCGTGGCCGCAATGTTGACTGCCTCCGCCGCCGCTACTCAGACTACTGCCTATGACTACCGCGTACTGGACTCCCTCTCTCAGCCGTGTTTTAATTTGATTAATTTCACCTTAACTTGATTTCAACCAGCGGGAAAAGGCTCAAATATGTGAGAAACCCGGAGGGTTTAGGGAGGTTTGGCAGTTAACGTTACTAACCAAACCTTTGAAACACATAGCAGCTAGTTAAAAGTACATTACATGCCTGAGTGGTTGTCAGCACTAACGGTTAGCACTGTTTGCTGGCTTTATGAGCTGCAGCTCCTGAACCCATCCATTCGTAAACTGCACATGAGACTCCAAGGACTTGTAGCTTTAGAACTGTTCGCGCACCGCCGGCCGTTAGCCACCTAGCATGGCGAGCCCTGCGTCCGATTGTTTACATTTTTGCCATCTTATTAAAACTCATCCGTCCATGTATGATGGCGATTTCCTTCATGTACATCACTTCGACATCTCGTACCCAAGATGTGAACTGGTTGTGAGCCTCTAGACCCTTGTACGCTCTCATTTCCTCAAGAGTGTGCAGAGGGTTTTCACTGAACACCGGGTAATGAACTATGTCGCCATGCTCTACATTTGGCCAATCATCTGGATTAGTGCTAAACAAGGCACCGTGGAGGGCATAGGGGTCCATATGGTCGATCACGGAACATTTCCTCAGATATGTTCCATGATCTGGTGGCTCTAGCGTGCTGGCGTACTTATCCATTCGCGACATGATATATGATATACGATAATATGCCACCCAAGATGGCGGACCGGAAGCTGGCCAGTGACGTCACTGAAAACCCCCTATTATGACCAAAAAGTTCTTTTTTGGTCTCATCTGACCTTGGGATGCAGCTAACGATTATTTTGCAAATAAATTAAACTGTCGATTATTATGTAAATTTTTTTTTTTTTTTACAATCTTGGTATAATTACTGCTCTAAGTGGGTTGTTCTGTCAGTTAAAGGCATGTTTTAGTCTCTATACTCCAGTTAACAATTACTTGATTACTAAGTTAGTTGACAATTATTTCAATAATCAAATAAACATGATTAACCCAAGTAATCGTTTCAGCCCTAATCTGACCACATGACTTTCTCCCATGACTCCTCTGGATCATCCAAATGGTTTAAGATGGGTCTTGACATGTGCTGGTCTAAGCAGGAGAACCTTCCATGCCATGCATGATTTCAAACTATGACGTCTTAGTGTATTACCAGCAGTAACCTTGTAAACGCTGGTTCCAGCTCTTTTCAGGTCGTTGACCAGCTCTTCTCATGTAGTTCTGGGATGATTTCTCACCTTTCTTAGAACCATTTAGACCCCACAAGGGAAGATGTTGGATGGAGCCCCAGTCCGAGGGAGATTGACAGTCATGTTTAGCTTCTGATTGATTCTAATAATGATTGCTCTGACAGTGGACCTTTTTTCACCAACCTGTTTGGCAATTTCCCAGTAGCCCTTTCCAGCCTTGACGAGGTGGACAATTTTGTCTCTAGTCTTTGTATAGCTCTTTGGTCTTGGCTATGTAAATAGTTGAATTCTTACTGATTGTATGGGGCGCACAGGTGTCTTCATGCAGTTAACAACCTCAAACAGGTGCATTTAATTTAGGATGATAAATAATAATAATAAATAACATTTTGAAGGCAGACTAAGGCTGTGTCTGAACGTCCGTCCTAACCCTTAGATCCCTTAATCACTACATAGAGCAGGGACTATATAGTGGACTTTATAGCGAAGTGCCTGAATTGCCTTGGTTTTTGGTCGCTGCTGTCACAGGTGACAGCAAATCCCATAATGCTTTGCGAGGAGAGCTCTCCACTCAATGCATTCTGGGTTATATCAGCTCGTTTCATGACAATGGATGATCACTACTTTATAAAAGTGCATTGTGGAAAATTTTGAGTCCACTCACTACCTATATAGTACCATATATAGGGATTAGGGTGAACATTCGGACACAGCCTGACTGGTCTTTCAGGGTCAGAATTCTAGCTGATATACAAGTGTTCAAAAACTTATTTGCAGCTGTATCACACAAATAAATAGTAAAAAATCATATGTCATTTCTCTATTTTTTTAGATTATGTCTCTTACAGTGGACCTATGACAATTGCAGACCCCTCCACAGTTTCTAAGTGGGAGAACTTGCACAATAGCAGGTTGTTCAAAAACTTATTATCCTCACTGTAAGTTTTCAAGATTCCTGTAGAAAAAATATTGAAATAATTTTACTTGTTTTTTTTTGTAGGATCTTGTATAGATATAAAGGCCAATATGATATTCTGTGTAGAGTGGTTGTTATTTTAAACCAAGTTATATAAAGCACTTCTATGACTTGCACCCCTTCTTGACTTCTGTGTTTTCAGCTATAGGAACTTCTTGGCTGAACAAGGATGAGGAATCTTAGGTGAAGGAACACAGTTATTCTCAAAGGAGACGAGAGATCACCATTTGAACTGGTTCCTCAAAAAAAACACACTTGAATAAATTTTTGATGCAGTTGGGTGGAACTCGTCTACCGTTTATCTTTGATCATCAGTTTGTCACCTCAGCTACCCCACTGAGTTTTGAAGTGTAGTGTGGGCAGTGGATGATCAAGAGGGAGTGGCAGCGCCAGAGGTAAACAGTCTGGAGAGATGAACCTTAAGCTGTCTCCAAAGTAAGAACATAGTAGCATTTTCCCACCCTTAGGGTGAAGTCTGCCTTTCACCCCTGAGTGGAGGGATTACTGTAGCCGCTCCTAGCGCTGGAGGTTTGGCATCTGCACCCCCATGTGCCAGTGAGTGGGAAATGTTCCAATTTGGAAAATACAATCTGGACATTATAGAGATGTTAAGTGGGCACCAGGCCCACCAGTTCAAAGGCCTCGGTTTAGATCGACAGCTACAGCATCAGCAGCAAGTGCAACTTCACCAGCATCAACTCCAGCAGCAGCAGCAGCAGGCTGAGACTTCTGGAGCTCTTCTGTCTGGACTTGGCCTGGGCCCCCTGCAGGGGTCAAGAGGTAACGCCTTTTCTGATTCTGCCTCCATTTTTGCCAAGATGAGTGCCCCTCCTCCCCCACCTTTACAACAACAGCCTTCCTCATCTCAGACCTCTCGTTCAAAGTCAAGCAAGATGAGCAGCAGCAGCAGCTCAAGTCATTCTTCAGGCTACCCGCAGTTCCTGCGCTCTTTCCACCCGTCTGAGGCAGCACTAGCACAGGAGCAGTTACACCCAAGTGTAGGCCGCTTTGAGCACTTTACCGGGGGAAGTAGCAATAGCGGGAGTGCTGGGGGATTAGGAGGATTAGTAACATCAGCACCCCCACCCCCTCCTCTTCATCCCGGCCTCTCTGTCCCCCAGGCATCACCTGGCCCCTCTTCTTCCTCTCCCTCTCCATCAACATCTGTTGCCACCTCTAACAACCCTTCTAGCAGCAGTGCAGTCAGCTCTTTGGGACACCAGTTGGTTGGAGCCCAGTCTGATGCACGGAGCCTTCACCAACAATTTAGTTGCATGTTAGCTGCTAATCAATATTTTCTTTCTGGTGTGCCTGCTAATGCTAGTTTAGAACAGTTTTTAGTTCAACAGGGAACTCATAACCACTTAGGGATTGGGTTAACTCAGACCAGTGGGGAGCCTAGCACTAGCCTTGCTCCTCCTCCTGCTTTGCACTCCTCGCACTCACATGGCCACTCCACCCCCCAGCCCCAACAGCCTACACAGCAGCCTACCCAGCAGCAGCAGCTTCCACCTCACTCCCTTTCCCATCCCCACACTCATTCTCATCCTCACCACCCTCTTCACCCAGGCTCCCAGGCTTCATCACTGGGTGGCTTTGACTTCCAGGGCATTCCAGTGCTTTCATCTAATCAGATAGCCTCTCTGATGCAGCAGGAAGCAGGGTTGCCCCTTCCCTTACCACTTCACTTATCTTTATCAAAGGAAGACGGTAAAGGGGAAAGCAGTGGAGGCGGAAGTAGTGGTAGTAGTAGCAGTAGAAGGAAAAAAGCCATGGCTGGCTATTTGCCTCAAAGAAAATCTGATAGTGGTAGTAATAACAGTAGCAGCCATGCTCACAGTGTCAATGGCAGTAATCCCAGTACTGCTAGTAATAATGGAGGGCTAAGTCATGGCCAGCCCCCAGCTTTGATTGGCAGTGGGGTTGGTATGACAAATATGAGTGGAGATCCATCATCTCTTCTTGTCTCTTCATCTTCATCCTCATCAGTAGTTTCTTCTTCCTCCTCCTCTGCTCCTTCTTCCACTGCTGCCTCAGTACTGGTTACTAATGATTCTCAGCTTTCTAAATCTGATAACCAGAACTCAATGCAACCCAACACTTCTGAGTCTGATACAGAGCCTATTTATAGCTGCGGAGATTGTGGCAAAAGCTTCCCTCACCTATCAAGCCTTCGCAGGCATATGCGCATGCATGAGCCAACCACAGCAGGTACTAGCAATACTTCCACTACGGGCCCAAACCCCGTTTACATTAAAACTCAGTCTGACCCAAGCCTTCCCCATTCGACCCAAGAAACTCCCGAACCCTCGTCAAATTCTTGTCCTAGCCCAGACAAAATATTTCACTGCCCTGACTGTGGTAAAGGCTTTAAGAAAAAGGGGCACCTGCTGCAACATGGAGTTATACACTCTTCAGCCCGCCCATATGGCTGCTCCACCTGCTCTCGGGCTTTTAATCGTAGAGAGTCACTGACACGTCATGAGAAGATTCATGAGGAAAAGCCATTCAGATGTCCTGCCTGTGGTCGTGCCTTCCGAGAGAGCACCTCTCTTCTCAACCATGCTGCCTCAGGCACCTGCGGCAAGCCAGGTAGGGGACCCAAACACCGGGGCAGCAAGACAGGAACTGATGGTGAGGACAGAGTTGGGGGAGGGGGTGGAGGAGGTAATGGAGGAGGGGGAACTTATCAAAGCAATAGAGGGGTTATTTATGGGAAAACTGAGGAAGAGGATGGTGTAATCATTGTGAGTGAAGGAGAACCTAAATCAGGTTTAGGATGTGATGGTCTATTTCAGTCTGGAAGGGGAGGGAATTCAAATGACAGGGAGAGAACTGATGGTAAATACCCCACTGACTACTCTCGGAATCGTTACACAGGCTACCATGATGACCACCGTTCTCAAGGTAATCCATCTCCGTGCTACTCTGGTGCCTCCCCCTGTGGAAGTGGGATGGCCGGCCCAGCTCTGAGAAAGGCTCCCTTGGCCCCAACTCTGCATCCACACTCACAGAGCCACAACCAGCACCACCATCCGCAGCAGCAGCCCCACCTGCCTCTTTCTTCTCTACTGGATGACTCAGAGGATGATGTCACTAGCTCTGTCAATAATGCAATCTCTGCAATAACAGCTGCTAGCAACAGCGGAAATAGAGGGGATGATAGGGGAGACATAATAGGAGGTCTGCTTGGTGGTCTTGGATTAGGACCTCTAGGCTCACCTTCCTCTACATCGGGCATAGATAAGAATTTCCGAAGTGGTGGGAGCCAAGAGGCTATGAGCAGCAACCCACAGAATCCTACTGCAAAACCAAAACGTCCTCGCAAACCAAGAGCTAAAAAAGATCCTGCCTCTGGTGGACAGCCCCCAAAACGTAGGCAGTACACCCCAAGAATGGGGCAGAGTGGGCTCCCACGCACTCACCTTTGCAGTGTCTGCGGTAAGGGGTTTGCACGTCGTGAGACTCTACGCAGACATGACCGCATCCACACTGGTGAAAAGCCGCATCATTGCACCATATGTGGAAAATATTTCAGAGAGGCGTTTCATCTCAGCAAGCATCAGACAGTCCACTCTGGTGCAAAGAATTACAAATGCACAATCTGTGGGAAAGAATTTGGTTACTCCCAGAGCCTTAGGAGGCACAGCAAACTCCACCAGAAAGGAGAGCTGGAAGAGGTACCCACAACACCAGCTCCAGAGACCCTCAACAGCTTTAACCCAAATACTCAATGTAGCGTGGCACAAGACAGGAGCCAGAACCCAGCACCAACCACTTCTTCCTACTACCCATACTCTCAAGACGTCAAGCCTCAAGACTCCAACCCTCAGCCACAGCCCCCCCCCCCACCTCAATCGCAGCCTCCACCACAGCCTCGACTTTACACCTGTGCTATATGCTGGAAGTCCTACCGTCATCACTTCCAGCTTACTGCTCATCACCAGATGGTTCATGAAGGCGGGGGGGACAAGTTCTTCTCCTGTGAGGTATGTGGGAAACAGTTTGCCTACTCTAATAGCCTCACTCGACACAGGCAGTCTCAGCATGGGATTACCCGAGCTGAACAGTCTAACCCCCAAGAAGGCAGCAGTGGATCTGGAGAAAACAGAAGTGGGAGTGATGTTAATCAGTCTGCTTCTGAAAGCGAGGCTGCCACCAACGCTCTGCTTCAGATGGCTCCATCCACTGACGGTCATGGAGGGCAGGGTCTTAGCGTTGTCACTCATAGTCACCAGCAACCACCCCCGCAACCACCAGCTGGTTACTCCCCCCTCTTCTATGATGCTGCAGCAGCCCAGTCCTCCAGTGCTCCATCTTACTCTCAGCCCCTCCCCCCAAACTCCACAATCATGCCCCCACATCATCCGCATTCCCCTGCTGGGGTGAAGGGAGAACACATTTATCCGGCCGGATCCCGTAGCCGTACCCTTCACACTACTGCCCCGTTCCAGCCCCTCACAGAGCTGCCCTCCACCGAACATCACCATCTGCATCACCATCATCACCTCTCCCACCATCATCCCCATCATCAGTTAGAAACCCAGTCCCACCAACACTTTGAATGCAACATCCCTCTACCCCACGATGAAATGAGACGTCACAAGAAAAAAAAAAAAAAGTCAGACAGCAGAGAATGGAGGGATAATAACTGGGGAGCCCAGGATATAGTGAGACATGATGGAGTCAAACGGAAGAAAAAGATGAGCATTACAATTAGAGGGCAGCATAATAAGAAACAAGGTTCACTTCGTTTGACGATTAGGCGAGGGGAAGGATCTGGTGGTGGTGGGTATAGGCTAATCAACACTGCAGGAATGAAGGTACAGATCCTGTCATCCCTCCAAGTCCCAGTGAAACGTTTCGGATGCCCCATATGTCCCAATTCCGTGTTTTCCCGCAAAGCGGGGCTGCTGATTCACATGGCAGTTAAACACCCACAAAAGGCCTTGAGCGCCCAGGATCGGCTGAGGTGCAGAGTGTGTGGGAAGCAGTCTCAGAGGCCTTTGACAGCCTTCATCCATCGAGCCTTCCATCGTGCCAGAGGGACCTTCTCCTGCCGTCACTGCTCCGCACGCTTCTGGAACGCTACACTTCTTCACAGGCACAAAGCGTCCTGCCGCCGCAGGGCTAAAAGACTGCAGAAAGGAGATGGGAAGAGTCTGAAGCTTTCGAAGAGACCCGATGAAAGACAGACTCACGACAGTCAACAGGACATGCCATTTTTGCAGGAACCTTACAGATTCTGATCGTGGGGTCTAAAAGAATGGCATATGAGAGGGATTTTTGTTCAGTTATAAAAGAGGAAACGGAGAGATAAAACAGGGACTGGCAAAGGCATCTACTGCCCTAAGGATAATTTTCCTCTCTTTTTCTGTTGCATCTACTCTCCTATTAGACTGAGTGTGTTAACAACTACTGTAGAAAATTATATTAAATATCACCAGAGATTCTTCCAGATTATATTGGAAGGTATTCAAAGGTGTTTTCAAAGACGTGACTGTTTCCATAGGATCATGAATTAAAACCCCTTAAGTGCATTGACACTATGCTTGGCTGACACTGTGCAGTTATCTAGACAAGTTAGGTAAAATGACCTGCTAATGTATTTCCCCTTACACAACTTAAGTTCCCTGCTACAACTCTTGCTGTATGATAACGTCTCTGCTGTGTATTTTGTCTTGTTGTTGTTCACTTAGAGGCTCCGAGGAGTTTTTTTTAATGTAAAGTGCATTTATTAGGAGTAGGGAAATGGGGACAAATATCTTTTTTGTTAATAGTATGTCAGTGCATGTTTGTTCTCTGGTCAAGTTTTTTGCTGAGGTTGTGAAATCACTCCTGCAGTATGTGATGGTTTATTCAGTATATCTCCAAAACTTTGTAGTGTAAACTTGATTTGAGAGTTGCCCCTATATTCCTTAGTAACCTAATCACACATAAGTGAAATGTAAGTTCCGGGTAATTAGCAGTACAGTGATCCCACTCCTGCCAAAATGAAGAAGCCTTGCTTACAGTGTTTACTTTACTTTGAGGATATCCCTAGCTTTTATACTGCAGGATTAAAACAGGTTAAAATAAACTGACTTTAACATGTTATACTCATGTTATTTCTACGCTATTTTTTAGCACTGATTATTTCTACAATACTTCTTCAAAAGACAAGGACCTATCATGATAAACAAATGATATATTCCATGTATTTGTGTGTAACCCAATGAGTCTTCATGCCAGTACTCTACTTACCCACCTCAAGGTTTGGGTTTTACTGATTTGCAATCATGTTATTAATGTCAAGCCTTGTTTTTTCTTTCTTCAACTGAGTCTGATGAAATAAGTTTTTAAGTACATCGTGTCACTTTATTCACACATGAAATGTTCATACCCCTGTCAAGTTTTTTGTTTTCTTCCAAAGGAAAAAAAAAAATCTAGTTTTAGTATATTTCTATCACATTATTTACTGAGAAGTCAGTAGTTGATTATATTTCAGCAATGAATAAACCTTAAGTGTAATAATTTGTTTTCTTTCTTTTCTCATCATCAGAAACCTGCAAGCAATATCTAGAGCATAGTACAAGATAAAGGGTTTAACTTAACAAAAGTTGCATTTTTATTTAGATATATGTGAAATGTTTATTTTTTAAGCCTTGGATTGATTTAGTAAACGTCAGGATGTAGTTTCTATAACAATAAATTCCATTAAAGTGTTTATTGTTTGAGGATAATTAATGATTTTCAGTACTCAAATTAAACAATAGTATTATCTCCATGTAGTCATGCATTTTGTGTATCAGCTTAATCATTGCAGGGGCTATGTTGGCTTTCAGCAGGCAACATTTGGAGTACATCCTAGCCAGGTCACCATTCCTTAACACAGGGGTCTGCAACCTTTCATAACCAAAGAGCCATTTTTCCCGAGATCAGACCAAGTAAAAGTTGTTTCGAGACACAAGGTATGACTTTTTTTTTTTTTTTTAAACCTATTTGTTTTTTGTTATTATCGGGTATAGGAAATTAGTCGTCATCTTAAACAACTAACAGTGTTTGAATTTTTAGCTTTTAAAATAGTATTAAAACACAAATTCCAAGCTAATTCAAAGAAAAAATGGCTCTAAAACATATTTCCAGTTCTTTTAATTTCATCCTTATCCATCGTATAATAACCATTAAAGCTTTTAAGACTGGTATTTATTTCATAGCCTATTATTTAGCTCTTTATATACATTTTAGCCACTATTAAGAGCCGCTGCAGAGGGTCCAAAGAGCCACATGTGGATCCTGAGCCGTAGGTTGCAGACCCCTGCCTTAACACCTCAATGCAGGTTTCACTACGTAAAACATTTATATAGATTTATTAAAGTGACATATTTCAAGTGTGTTTTCACTTTTTCAAATTCAGCTTTACAGCTAATGAAAAACCACTAGATGTTTTTCTTTAAATTTTAATATTACACGATTCAACAACTAAGTACTTTTAATGCTCAAATATCCGATTGAAGAGAATCTTCATGTTTTTAAGTTGTCGCTGTGTAGCAATGCAAGAAGGTGAAGAAATGATCAGGCTGTGATGAGATGTTAAGGAAACCCAGGATTTAATTGGGGACTTTAGCTTGTCTACATTGCCAGCTCGGAATTCTGATCTTGACAACACTCACTGGGGGAAGTTCAGACCACACTGTAAAAATTGGATTATAAAAAATTCAGTGTCAACTTGTTTTATGCTTAATAGAAAGTTACAGCTATACTGAGTATATATCTGCTCAAGTGTTTCAGTTAATAGTGAAAAAGTGACAGCCTTGCAGTGTAACTTTTACTCTGTATGGTGTCGATTACCCACCAGTCTCTGAGAGATCTAGATTTTGACACTAAAATTATTAAAATTTACACTAGCTAGTAGGTTTTACATTCATTTGGAAGGGGACCAAATGAGTGTATAACATTTAGATTCAGCTATGCGGGTACTTAAAGTACCACTTGTTTTTTTTAGTGTGCCACATTTTTTTCTTCCACTTATCTTTCCATTATAACGCTTGGATAACTCCCTCTGTGAAGAGCCAGCTTCTTTAGCAATAACATGTTTCTTTTACTTGTGAAAGATTTCATTGATTTTATTTTAGTTCAATATCAAGTTGGCCCCTGCCAGGATTGTGTAAGGTTATAGCAAAACATAATTAGTTTGAAATAAAACGTTAATATTATTTTTGAGATGCAGCTTTCTATCTATTCAAAGAATAATTGGATCTCACTTGTGGCACCACAAGATGGCAGTAAGCTTCTCATAGTGATCCTTGCCTGGTAGGGATGAGTGGGGCAGTCACATGGATGCAACTGTGATAGGAAAAGGACTTGTAAGGCTGGGCGTTCTATCATGTATGCAAATATTGTGGCGGTTTTCGTTTACTGGAAGATTAATGCCGCCAAGTAAACTAATCTAGGAGCCACGTCAAAGTTATAAGAAATTAAGGGGGGGTGTAGGTCTTCTGGTGTATGCATTTAAATATTTAAATAATCAAATTGATGTATGAAGAAATAAAGTTGGGTTTTAGATCTCTGATTAAAATATTTTAAAGCTTATCCTGGCTGTAATCCTTAAAATATACAGGGAAATAATTACTGAAGTTTTAGGTATTTATTAAGTGACCGTATACAAGTCATGAAATGCTGATTTTGTTTACTAGTCTCTTATCTACGTGGACCTCTGTATGAGTCAGGGGAGGACAGGTGAATTCCTGTGGCGCGCTTTGTTTTCGCTTGCGCTTTTACTGTGTACAGTAGACAAGACAAACCCTCGCGCCTTCTTCCCTCCTCCTCGCTGGTCTCACGCGGCAGTGGCATGCACGCGGTGGGGAATCCAAGCAGGCGGGTTGGTTTGACCTATTTCTGGCCAATGGCTCAGTCTCTGAGGGCGGGGCAACCGCTCGATTTGGCCAATCAAAACCGGGAGCGCGAGCGGACAAGGCTCACTTTCCGCGTGTCTCACCCACGTGAGTTGGGACAGCTATTGTACGCCGACAGGCAACGTGCGGAAGCGCTCCCCTCTCCTGAAAAAAACAGCACACTCACGTTTTCAGTGGATTACAAGGGAAACTGGAAAACTCGTGCAGCTGTGACCGGTCATTACTAAGAAGGAAAACATAGACTAGACTATCAAAGGTTAAAATTGGAAGGCTTTGCAATAGAAAAAATATAGTTCCCTCTTAGACACAACACAAAAAAAAATAAATAAATGAAAAATAATAATTCCACATAAAACTAAGTGCAAATCAGGCACTTTGGTAATGAGAATAAAAAAACATAAATAAGTCACACTACCTGTCAGAAAAACAAAGTATGGCAAGCCCATTTATCATATGATAAATAAATCAAGCTGTCTGAAGCTGCTCAACCTACAACATTTGGATGTTTATTGTAGTTTTAGTTTGCCCTATAAACATAAAATATTTTTTTATTTAATCCTTTTTAATAATTTTCAATTTTATTTTAGTTAGTTCACTTTGTAGTGTGGAAATTAGATTGTATATATATTCATTAAGTTAAATTCAGTCTACAAGCGTCAGGTCCCTCAGCATTTCTATCAGATAACTAGTTACAATCTCCCATATTTAACTCTTGTCCCTGCTCACATTCAACACGACTGAAGGTATTTAGTGATGGAATATGATAACATGGCAAGTTTTATTCTGCACTTGACTAGATTAGCATTGGTTAATGAAAAGAGTGCAGTGATCTGCTAAGCCTGACAAATATCTGTCATAATTCTAAACCAAAGGGGGACATTTGATCCTTTTGGTTTTTAAATGTGTGTATCTCTCACCATTAAACGCTGTTTTTTCTGCTTCTCTCATTTAAAAACGTTTCCTAAAATGGATCCTTACTGTTATTTATTTTCTTAATTTTGGCATATAATTAAAAAAAAATGTTATAACAAATATACTGTATCACTGACACTGTTGCAGTAAGATGAGTAGAAATGATCCCCTTTGGCGTTTTAAGGGGTATGTATTGTTTTCTAGTGGTAAACCTATAGTAATTAATTCCAGTCTTGCTTAATTTAGATATATATAAATATTTTTTTTTTTTAGATTGACTGACCATACAAATCAGTTCCTTTATTAAAAGGTAGTAGAATGATTCAGTTTAGAAAACCAATAGAGATGGTTTTATGTTTTCATATGTCATAAAATACCAAATAATAGTATGAATGTATAAATGCAGCACAAAGAGAAAGCCAGCAGAGAAAGAAGAACTACAGAATGGGGAGACAGAGATGGAACAAGAAGCAGGTAAGAAATGCTAAAGACAGGACCTGCTGTCTGTGGCTTGTTTTTAGCAGCTTGACTAAAAGTACTGTTAGGTTGCTCTCAATATCCAATAAACATGAAAGTGACTTAAGCTTAAATAACTACATTTTGATCAGTAAATGTGAATCAATTAGGTGCAATTGTCTCAAAGGGTGATGGACCGGTGACCTGTCAGTTTATACCTGGCTTTGCCTGATAAATGATGGGATATGCTAAAGCCCTCCCGCTAACTGATAAAAGGACTAGGGGTTCAGAAAATGAATGAATAAATGCCTCAAACATCAGTTGATACACATGTTTCACTGGTGAGTAGTAGTGTGTGCACAAATATCTGAGTATTTAGTTGTTGTTTGCAATTTGAAGCAGCAGCTTTGGTTCTCCGGTAAGCACCGACGTCGGATTAGTTAGTGCTTTGGGGTTATCAATCTGTGGGACGGGATAATAACAGAACACGCCATACTTTGTGACGCAGTGGGTAGCACTGCTGCCTTGCAGCAAGAGGATTCCGGGTTTGATTCCCGGTGTGGGGTCTTGTTTGCATGTTCTCTCTCTGCATGCGTGGGTTGTCTCTGGGTACTCCGGCTTCCTCCCACAGCCAAAAACATGACTATTAGGTTAATTGGCTTCTCTAAATTGTCCTTAGGTCTGAGTGTGTGTGTGAATGGTTGTTTGTCTTGTCTCTGTGAAAAAACTTAGTAATACACCTTATGTCAAAAATGATTGATGACTAATGACCTGACCTTATGACCTTTTGACCTCACCCCTCCCCCCTTCCGGTCCCCTCCCCCCCCCCCAAATGATTTATGACCCACCCCTCCCCCACAAATGATTTATGACTTATGACCTTTTGACCTTACCCCTCCCCCCTTCCGGTCCCCTCCCCCACAAATGATTTATGACCTTACCCCTCCCCCACAAATGATTTATGACCTTACCCCTCCTCCACAAATGATTTATGACACCCCTCCCCCCTTCCGGTCCCATCCCCCATCCTTCTGGATCCCCCAAGATTTATGACCTTACCCCTCCCCATTCCGTTCCCCATCCCCCACCCTTCCGGATCCCCAAGACTTATGACGCCATCACCCACCCTCCTTCCCTAAGCTAACCAATGAAAATAGGAGGGCGGAATTATGTCCTCTTTAAATATTGCTGGGGAGAAAAGTTTTTGTATTTTCAGCAAGAGAAAAACACTTACATTCCTACCGACAATGTCAAGAATTCCGAGAGCTATTCTTAAAAGCAGAGAATTACGCTCTGCATTGGAAAAAGAATCGGCTTTACCTGAGCAGCTTGAAGTAGGTGTAAAGAACGAGATCCGTTTTTCCGCCTGCAAAGAAATGGAGGACGCGATGGGAGAATTCGGGATCGAACCTTTGGTGAAAGATGCTTCAACTTCGATAACCCT